TCAGTTAAAATTAACTTGACAATGAATCGCTGCTATATGTAGGAATTTCTGATCCTGATGAACTACTCAGTCAATGCCTTTTAGCATTTTGGATACTGGAATACTGTTCATGATTAAAAAGGTTCAGTTCTTTCAGCCTGTCAGAGCAGGACAGAGGTTCCCAATGCTGTTCTTAGAAAACAACACACCTGCTGCTTTGTATTGCAGTGGAGCACTGTTAACTTTCCATTAAAATATTGGTATTTCAACCATTCATTTGTGTGTTGGTCCCCAGGACAAAGATTGGGAACCCCTGATATATTACATTCTTTTAAGCCCCAGAATGTATTCAGCTGTTCTTCTGTGGATCATCATCCAGAGATCTCATAAAAGTCCCATTCCATGGAAAAAAATTGGAATTCTCAAAACACTTCCCAAACTATAAGAGCGATATGTACCATGTGTTACAATGTCAAATATACGTCATGAACTCCACACCAGTACTGTGTTAAAGTAGGTGTTTGCTACTTCAGTATTTTATTTATTTGTGTTTTTAACAACTTAAACAATTACTTTTGGAATGATTTTCTTTTTGGGGGAACAAGCCTGTAAAGAAACTTCAATAGCGTCTTGTGCCAATAATTGAATTAGAACACCAAAAAGAAAAAAACACATCACCAAATTTAGGTCACAAATACCAATGACAACTTGAGTCTTTTCCCCTCCAACTAACTGGGAGTACATCCTGCCCGCAGCACACTGTATTTACTTCAGAATTTGTGTGTAATGAGGTGGCCCAGATTCCCTTATTATTTTAGAAATCTTGAATTCACTTCATATGAAAATGTAATCCCAGCAGAATGAAAATAAAGCATAATGAGCCATTTTGCCATTCCACCGCTCTTCATTGTCTACTGCACACTGAAAACTTTGGAGGAAATGGATCCAGGCTTAGATCTGTAGGATGATAAAAAATAACTCTCTCGCTCCCACTCTCTTTGAGCAAATTCCTCATATCTCTGTACCTGTCATGTAGGCTGATGCAGCACGGCTTAAAGCCGAGCCCCTTTTACAAAAGTTGGCATTTCCGAGGTGAATCTGAATGCAAATCACAAGGAGAATTTAAGCTTCAGCAAACCCTGTCCTGATTGAGCCCAAAGGAAATATATTGCTCTTAATCGAGGCTACCAATCGACTTCTTTTTTTTAGATTTCCACTAGATTTGTATATTTGCATTATGCATGGGTCTTGGTCCACCAGAAACGTCAATTTCCAGGCAGGCCTAAACATCTCAGCTTCAGTGCAAAAACATCCAAATCGCAGATTCCTAAGCTCAAATGAAACAAGTCATACTGTACCATCTTAAGACTTTACTCATCATCTATAAATATACACTGTTGAGCCTGTGCTAACATCTTACACATCTTTGACAAAATGCAAGGTAACATAGAGGTATGCTATGAGCATCAACAATTTGTTCAAAGTGTCCACTATAAAATATAAAAGTATAATAGTTGAATACTTTTATATTATTTTTGAAGAAGAAGGATGAGATGTGAAGAATCCAAGCCTGACATTAGGCAATCTTTAATTCTCAGTTAGCAGGGTCTTAATCTTGATCACAGCAACTCTAGGTAAACTGTACATGATCAGCCATTGTAAAGTGCTGTAGGAGCTAAACCATCACATTTAATAACCAGATCTAATTAACTCAGTGTCACGTTATCCTTATCTTAGATTCATTTGTTCCCGTATTCACATCCAATACATAAAAGTAATACTTGCATAAAACAAAATGTCCCAGTGTTCAGAGGAAAATATCCACAGCATTGTGTTATATAAGAAAGAAAAACCAGCAGAAAGGCATTTTCTAATGTCTAAGGCATTTTCAGTGCAGGGTACATAATCTTTTTAAAACTACTGACTATGGTACAGAAAAAAAGCAAACTAATTTTGTAACAAAACAACCATCCTGCAAAATATAGCCTAACTGCCCTTATGTCAGCCCATACCTAAGGGTGCAATTTAGTTTACTTAGAGACCAAAAACAATACACACAGGGAATATAATATTAGTTCACAACAAGGGCAAAGTGAAACTTTAAAATGAGCTGGCATCCATGATTTCTCCGCATAGAGCAAATTAAATATGACCGGCTTGTTTTAGAGTGGATCTTACTGACAACAGAACACCCAGCGTGACCTCTGCAGCTCAGAAGTTATTCTGAAACTTAAGTCTGTACACCGGGAATACTGCCAGCAGCCACTATTCCTGTGCCATTTGACTTGCGCTTAAGCCCAAAACCCCCCAACCTGCCGCACTTCAAGTTACACTGAGCATTGTCACAGGATATTAGACGTTTTGTGGCTGTTTGTGTCCAAAGGACAAATGACTGTAAAATTTTGTCTGCCCTGAGCTCCTTCTGGTTAAGACAAGCAGACATCTAGTCGAGGTTTGAAATGCAGTGTGCAGCGGCATGGAGAAAAATGACTCAAGACTTGCACTGCTTTGAAAAAAACAAACAAGAAACAAATAAATATGGGCGGTGCAATCATTTGGGAGTCAGTAAGAGAATGTTTACCGATTCACTAAATATTTTCCAAATTCTTCACGAATATTTGACTTTAGCTGCAAATAGTTGTCTGGCCATTTTCTATCTCCCAAAGGAAGGAAATGACAACAGATTTAAAGACAGAAAATAACAAGTGCAGCATTCTAGCAGCACACTACTTGGCAAGTAAACTTTTAAATCAACCTTTTAATTTTAAGTATAAAAATAAGCATCATATGAAAAAGTACGCTCTGATAAAGGCTAATTCAATATTCTAATTGTAACGAAAACCACGGGTTACATTTTCCTTTCACTCATTCTGAGTGACCTGACTAATCAAAGGTTTCACTGTAGGTGTAGAAAACCGAAGTAGCTCCATCAGAAAACACTCTCACGTTTCTGGAAACATTTTCTGAAAATGCTGCTGTGCCTCAGACTTCATTTTAAAATACTTTAACCCCAAAAAAAACATCAAGTACTGACAGCACACCCTTCATGTTTAAATCAAGGCTTACTCTGGCCATGTTACCAGAATTATAGAGGCAGAGTAAATAGAATTTAAGTAAAACAGTTCAGGTGGGTAGCTGCGTCAGCATGCGCAGGCTTCAAAGAAACAACTAATAGGTTTATTCCATGCTGAAAAGAGAAGAAAAGAAAAAACGTTTCTGCCATGGAGCCTTGTTTGGGTGTGGAAGACACCTGAAGAAGGCTCCACAGCCGAAACGTTGTGTTTCCTTTCTTCTCTTTTCAGCATGGAATAAACCTATTACCTGTTCCTTTAAGTAAAACATTAGTGAGAACTAGTCCTGCACCCTGTTTGCTACAGGATACATTTATTTAATAAGAGCAATTCTGGTTGCCATCATTACAAAATCTAAAAATGCCTTCTGTTGTTCACTGTTTTGGGGTAGGGATGCCAAAACCTGTCTCCACTCATTTCTCACATTTGTTAGCACCACCATGCGGTGCTTCACATGTCCTTGTCCTCCTCAAGCACTGCAGCCTATAAAACATTCTGCCCCTTACATCTCACCTGGTAAAGCAAGGAAACAACACTTAAACCCCATCGACAGCTTCTGATGTAGCCCACCAAGAATTTCAACACTTTCCCAGCAATTGCAACAACCTGCCGATATAAACGTTTAGTCTGAGCATTGTTTTAAAGTGCAAATACAAGGAATACACATCTCCCTGCAGACAAGGGAATGATTCAAAATATGCACTGCAGCACTTACTCTGATATTGATATAAACCACACTTAATTATACCAATGACACCAAACAGAGGAAAATGTTGTTAGAAAAGTAGCAACATAATCTTTCTCAGCAATTGAGTGATGTCATGCTCAGCACTAAAACAGAAACCTGGTTTGCAATGTTTGGCATATGCCATGGTGCAGTTTTCACACATCCACTAGGTGTCACTATGAGATCCTAACATCACGTCTCTGCAAATACGAGAACGAAGGTCCAAAACACTTCAATGCTGCTATCGAAGACGTAGTCAGAGCAGGTTCGGGTAATATTTAATTAAAATAAGCTAGACGTACAGCTCGGTACATAATATGCAAGACGTGCAAACTTGCATTTTACTTTTTTTAGACCCCAGATCCGTTAATCAAAAAGTGTTGAACAGAGACGATTACAGGCAGACAAAGCCGCAGTAATTTAAGCTCCATTAGTATCCCATTAAAAGAATCCTCACATCTTTAAATGAGAGAACGGGCTTCACATACAGCATATCGATGGTCTTTAAGACAAACCGTTTTCGAATATACTGTATAACGGGAATCAAATGTCATCCCTAAAAACAAAACTGCTTCAGATGAAGCTGTATTAAGTGTAGGTTAAGTAGTCTATTGATCAATTTACTAACAACTGTGGTCCTATAGAATGTCAGTAACGCATTTACACACAATTGTGTTTTCACTAAATCTCATTACAATTAGATATCTATAGATATTTTACACATATTGTAAAACCCGTTGCATATTTAGAATATTTAGAAAGACTTGAGCTTCTCGCTACTTTGGGAGAGGTGTTTGAAGTCTACGAAATAAGCAAGGAATCTTAATCGGTAACCACGGAACAAAAGTACGTACAATTACGCGGGTTTATATATTAAAAAGGTCGATAGAGTGGTATTCTATGGAACCGATAACTCTCTGAACGATTTCACTTGTCCAAAAAGTTCAGTACATTTGCGTGCACCACAATGATAGTCCAGTTTACCTGACATGTCCTGTATAAACTAAAATAGAACCATTGCAACAGTTTACGTAAAATGCACAAATTCATATAAAGATATTTAAAAATATCACACCGCTTAGCACATCGTTTGTGAAGAACCCGACACAGTTCACCCGTTCGTAAAGTACTAATACATTCCCAAATTCTAAAAAGAAAAAGAGTTATCAGTTGAACAAAACTTATTTCTTTTCTCGAAACGACGAAAAATGTTCAGAACTCACCTGTCCATGTTTTCTGCTCTGGTATGAAATAATATTTATTTCCAAAATGGTCCGTACCCACGTGTTGTTTTACTATTGCAAATTTTCTCCGTATTAAAGCTACTATCCTGCTCATAGTGATCTAAGAACACGCTAATAAAGCTAACGCTTAACTTCCACACTCAAAGTTCGTATGCACTTGAGATCTCGTTTTCCAAAATCACAAAACACGGGAGCCGGACGAGATGAAGCTGCCTCATTGGTCCACTAGGGCTCCTGCAACCAATCACGCAGCTTGTTATTTCGTAGCTGTTTCTTGTCAACATGGCTGCGCCCGTATGAGTGCTTAGAGCTGAGGACATTTTTTTGTTGTTGTTTTTGGAATGCAAATACGTACGCGATTATCACTGTTTTTGATTTATTAGTTACTATGGCCAGGTTGGGTATTTTAAAGCATAGATCACAAAAGTTTCTTAGGCATAGGAAACGTTTTTGTCTCTAGGAAAATCTACGATCGTTTCTTTGTTGTGATTGTAGTCTCATACGTTTTCCTGTCTTTTATTGTATTGGGGGGAAAAAAGCAACTAACATATGTCGTTTGATAAGATGCTGGGTTTTTTGTCCGCACGACAGATGGGACTAGATGATCCTCTTCGGTTACGACGCGCTGAATCAACAAGGAGGTACAGTAGGGCTGCGTTTGAACGTGTCTAAACGCTGCCAGTCCTCGGTGGATGTTACTGAAAAAAATAATTCATCATTCCGTGAGCACTCTTAGCCTCTACTTTCTTAAAGCAATAGTATACAACAATTATATTAGCAGCTCAATGTTAACTGTTTATGACATAAAACTCACTTTAGTTAATTTAGAGTGAATTCAGCAGCTTGTCGTCATCAGCATACTGCGTCAGAAAACTATTTTGAAATTATTTCTTTGCCAGGTATAGCTTTTAATGACGTACGTCAGGTGTACTCAATTCTTGACGGATCGCCTGGTGTCTTTTGGTTTTTATTCCACCCTGCACTCAGTTACGTAATGGGTTTAATTATCTAGTTTAATGCATCCTTGTAATGATTTTTTACCCTAAACAACCCGTATGTTTCAAAGTAAAAAATAGGTTAATTGTGTGACAATTAGTGTAACAAATTACACTAAGTAAATTAAACAATTACACTAATTAAATTAACAGATAGCTCAATTGTGTAATTGACTCCTCGGGTTGGACATTATGCACCTCCATTAATTGGAATTGAGTCTTACACCCCAGGCATTCTGTTCTGTATTTTTTTACTCATGGGAACGAGTAAATTTCATGCTAAAAAGAGATGATAAGAAAATCAACGTTTCGGTTTTGGAGCCTTAAAGTACTATGTATACTCGAACTACAAAGGTTATTATGTGTTTTCTTTAAAATATACTGTATTTGTATATTATGACTTTAAAGAAGGAGTTGAAATGGAGCCTTATCTGTGTTGAAATTGTGGTTTGTTCCTTGAACCTGCATGTTAACAGCCATTGATCTACTGTACATTGTGACTCAGAAACTAAAGAATAGGTTGCTAATTACACAAAATAAATTTGATTTTTAAAAGACACTGATACTTGCTGACACTTTGGAAAGCCAAAATTAGATAGTACTGGATTTACAAGTGTTGAAGATGGTTTTAATTGGCTAAACGCTAAATTATAATCTGTAATTATTTATAGTTTGCATAATAATTTTATAAGAGCACACCAGTCCCCTGGGATCAGGATTGGAGACTCCTGGCATACAGTGTATTAGTTTATTCCAGGTACATCAGGTTTCTTTTTCAGTCTTAAGTCTGAAAAAGAGGTTCTCAACCCTGGGCACCCCTGTGTCCCCTGGTTTTTATAACATTCTTAAAAGTATAGTATAGTTATCAATTTAAAATGCATTAAATGGATTGTGCATACTTCTGCACAGATGATTATAGTATTTAACAAATTTGTACATTCAATGCAGTATTTTTCTACTTTAGCTGAAGTCGATCAATGTGTCAAAAAGGTGTCCTAATCATAATTAAAAACCATTATTATCAAATTGAAAAGTTTGGTGTACTTAATTTTGTGGTATTTTGTGTTTGCCAAGGATGAATACTACTCCATCAAACCCTTAATTGAAGTAGAACATGGTAATTCAGTGCTGGGTGATGGCTGACATTGGTGTTCATTTGAACAAATATGAGTAGCTACAGAATGTCTCATTTTGATTGATGAAGGTCAAATGGTTAAGCATATGATGTATTGTACAATACTGCAAATATAATGGGGGAAAATGTATTTACTTGCATTTCCTGTGTTCTTTTTTGTTTCCGCAAAGGGTGCTCAGCTTAGAACTGAACAAAGATAGAGACGTGGAGCGGATTCACAGTAATGGCGTGAACACCCTCGATATAGAAGTCATAGAAGGAAGATAGTAAGTAGACTCTCAACAATATTACTATTATTACTCTTACACTCTTATTACTGTGATGAGATTTGTTTCACAGCACTTTCATGAGTCATTCAATCAGTGTAGTACTTTTTGAATGTGAGCCTAATTCTGGTATCATTTTTACATTTAAATAAATGTGCAGTCAGATATTTTTGAAACAACCTATTTCTGTTGACAGTCTTTCTTTGATTTAAAGTGACACTTAAAGTGTCATCAATTTTAGCATGCAGAACGTAATGCAGTCTTTCCCCTACTTAAGACTTTTCTTAAGAGTTAGTCAAAACAGCTCTTAATAGGTGATTGGTTTATGAAGAACAATCGCAGGTTGGATGGCGGTACCAGGTACTCCTCAAAACCCAGAATTGTTCATCATCAAGATTTTTTGAGAGTCAAAAATACATTTTAAAAGACTGGCATAGAAAATTGAAATGAATTGTCCAATGATTAAGAATACCAGAGGACACCAGGGCCACCCAGAACAAGGGTTTGGTCCCACTGGTTTGTCCAATGAGTTTACTATTAAATTATTACTTTATTGTCCATTCCTAGCACTGGAATTCTGATTCTTGAAGGTTGGTATGTCTATAGGTTTTTTTGTCCAGCTGGATTTGTAACATCTTTAGTTATCTCATTATTTGGTTTTCAGTAATTGCTGCTTTGCAGAAAGCGTGAACACTAGTCCTCTAGGATCAGGATTGGAGACCCCTGGTGTACAGTGTATTAGTTTATTCCAGGTTCTGTATACCAGGTGCCTTCAGTCATGGGTCCTTGGAGCTCTGAATCACAAATTAACTGTTTTTTTAATGTCAGATTTTTAAAATTGTTTTTAGCTCTTAAAAAGACGAGTGGCATTCGTAATTGGTATCAAGACCTGGATTAATCAGCGAGTTTCAGAAATGCCCTTGTTCGGGTGTGTTAGCTAAATTTTGACCAACTGGACACAGTTCTGGGGAATGCCTGATATGCAGTATTGTCATTCCCACCTGTGTCTGTTCATCATTCTTTGATCCCTTGTTAAGAGCTTTTTACTCAGTATTAGGGGAGCAAATTCTTCATTTGCATGTTGAATACAGCCTGCATGAAGTACTATGTGCTCATGTTTACTAGATATCATCTTCTTTAACTACAATATTGTTTTACACCAAGACCTGACTGTCAAAGAAAAGTCTAAATGAGCAATCAGATCAGTTACACGCATAATAAACTGGCCCTGGTTGAAAGCTCATTGGAATGAAAACCAGGAGACATGGGTGACTCAGGCCATCAAGACATTTCCACAGATATTTGATTTCAACCCTCTACTGTTAGGAAAATGTGTGTGCGATGAATATAAATTATTTTCCATTTTCTTTAAGCATGTTGTCAGGTGGGGCAGATGGAGTCATCGTAATCTATGATCTTGAGAACCTCAGCAAGAAACCACACTATACTTGCAAATCAGTTTGCACAGTAGGCAGGTAGGTAATAGGCACATTCCCTGCTTAACTTTTCAGTTGCTAGTACTAACTGTTTTTACATTTAGAGATTGAGAATTACACTTCTGCTCCACTAGATGGCAGCAGAATTTTTAGTTGTTACCACCTCTCCTGTTACAAGTATTGGGAATGTCTTCATTTTATCTAAGAATGCAGTACTGTAATAACTGTCGATTTTGGCTTGGTTAATGCTATGTTAATGTATAAAGTTTTTACAGGAATAAGTGTAAAAAGTATAATTAGTGTATTCACCCCAAATTTCCTTTATTTTGGTTGATATGGCCAGCAGCCATATCACCCTGCAACTCACAGCTGGCAACCCAATAAAGCTAAGCAGGTGTGAGCCTAGTCAGTACCTGGATGGGAGACCTCCTGGGAAAAACTAAGGCTGCTGCTGAAAGAGGTGTTAGTGGGGCCAGCAGGGGGCGCTCACCCTGCGGTCCATGTGGGTACTAATGCCCCAGTATAGTGATAGGGACACTATACTGTAAACAGGCGCCGTCCTTCAGATGAGACGTAAAACAGATGTCCTGACTCTCTGTGGTCATTAAAAATCCCAGGGTGTTTCTCGAAAAAGAGTAGGGGTGTAACCCCTGCGTCCTGGCCAAATTTCCCATTGGCCCTTACCGATCATGGCCTCCTAATAATCTCCCCCTCTGTGAATTGGCTACACTACTCTGCTCTCCTCCCCACTGATAGCTGATGTGTGGTGAGCGTTCTGGCGCACTATGGATGCTGCACATTGGTGGTGGTGGTGGAGGGGAGTCCCCATTACCTGTAAAGCGCTTTGAGTGGAGTGTCCAGAAAAGCAATGTATAAGTGTAAGCAATTAATATTATTTATTTTATTATCTGAAGGAATAGATTGTAGATGGTTTTGTAACTGTACAAAACAATGTGTATTAGTTATGCACTATATAGGGCACTTTGTGTCAAAAACAATCCATTTCTAGGCTCAAAACTGTCAGTTACTGACAGTGGCAAAATTAGTATGCTTGTACAAGACAGTACAAAATAATAAATGTCATAAGATGTATACAGGGGGTGGACAAAATGACGGACACACCACATGGAAAGGGAGTTTAACCTTGAAGTAACTTAATCACAATTACAAATGCAGCTGCAAAGGTCATAATAGGTTGATTGCCAATTAGCAGTATATGTCAGCTACAAAAGAGGTCTGACAATTAGCACTTTGATATGTGAGTTTTCAAAGCAACATTAGGCAACTAACAGAGTTCCAAAGAGGCCATTCAGTGCCTGAATTCCAGGTGTATCAGTCACAAAAACTGCAAAATTATTTAATGTGTCAAGGGGAACAGTCTCAAAAATAATGACAGCATATGCCAAACATGGACAAACTGCATCGGCAAAGAGGAACAGTGGTCGCAAGTCTAAGCTCACCGACAGGGATAGACAGACACTTCACAGGAAAGTTGCTAAATGCCACAAAAGTAAAGCCTAAAAAATGACAACAGAATTGAATCAGCACCTCAACAAAAACTGTATGTCATGAGCCTGGACATAAAATCTGCACAGTAAAGAGGATCTATCAGTAATTATATATCATTTTTTTTATCTTTTTCAAAAGTTTCATTAGTGTGTTTTTAGTTACAGTAAAATATCTCCAATCCCTAATCAACAGTATTATACAACATCTAGACTTCAGATTTGTGTGAATGTGTAAATATCTGGTGCTCTATATACTCATTTTAGGTCCCACCAGCATGTACACAAATTCAGTGTGGAGACTGTGCAGTGGTATCCACACGACACAGGCATGTTCACTTCAAGTTCTTTTGACAAAACGTTGAAAGTATGGGACACAGAAACACTAAAAGTAAGTAGCATTCTCTTTATGCAATTATTTTATTAACTGGGACTTCAGAGAAGATGCAGCATTATTCTTGCTTGAAACATACTTGGTGTGAAATGACACACAACTTGTTGGAGAACTTGCCATGTTTGAATCCCTATATAGGGCATGTTAAATTCAAGTCTGCACATCCGATTCCGAAGTCAAATAGTCCAGTAAGTAAAAAAATGTATCAGTGTCATAAATAACAGTGCTTTCAGTTTCAGTTGCTGTTTTGTTTATTATCAGTTACTGCCACAGCTCTTGGATCCAACGTTGGATTAATAACGCCATTACTAACCACACTACCCTCTGTCAGCTCATGGAGAGAAACCGGTTCCTTGGGTTGTTTAAAGTATTCTTGTCTCTGGTCCCTCTTTACTGACCGTACTGTATCCGTGACTGTTCAAATATCTCTGTCTCCAACATAGTGAGAACAGTTTCGATCCTGTGTTAATAGAAATCACAGGCTATTGCACTGTTTAAATGTTGGTCTGTGTCAGGAATGATTGCCATATGTCAAGAAAACGGCACAACAACTAAGAGCCACAGAAAATCATCAAGATAGTGCTGAGCTATGATACCTCTGCCAAGTTCTTGTCTGTTGTTTAGACAGGCTTTTGGCTATATTCTCAAAGGTGTGGCACCCAACAATCTAATGTAAAGTCTTTTCTCTCCATCTTTCTACAGCTCCCTCAATGTTGTATGTATTCCCTCCAGTTATTATTTGAACACAGCTTTGTGGCATTCATCAAATAAAACTGGTGTGTTTTTTGCAGTCTGTCATACCAGCTGCAGTGATGTTTTAAGGTCACGTCTATAGGTGATGGCATCTAACAGAAATGGCACTGGTCTTTAGTGCATTTTGGTTTATTCTGATATCTACTAGGCTGAATATTGGTTATGCAAGCTGTAATGTTGCATAGTAGTGAGGAAAAGTACATAACATAAGGTCTCATATGGATTACATTTTGAATGATTGTTTCCATAAATAATTCAGGGTTGAGCTTTAACTTAAGTAAATGGCAGCCTGAAACACTCCTTCCTTTGGAATTCAGTATAATACAGTATTTGCTAGAGATTATTATAATTATTTTGCAAACAAAGGCGTTTTTGCCTTTTGCAGGTTTTTTAAGTAGACGTTCTAAACATTTTACAATATGTCTTCAGTGATTTACAAAATGAATAATGTTTTATAATGTACATCTTAGAATGTTTTGCTTAAAGACCAGAACAGAAATGGGACCTTACTGTTCAGTATATTCAATACCCACACTCTGCTGTGAGCTACATCCCTTTTTAAACAACGGAGACTTGTGCTGAGCCCACCAACACAGTATGTCACCAACAGCATTAATGGAAATAATAGAGCCTCTGTGATACAGGCTTTACTTATAGAGCTTTGTCTGTTCTCTGTATGACATGAATAGAGTTATGATTTTTCAATTGCAATTGTGGTTTGGCTACTTCATTTAAAAAAAAGAATAAAGCTATAGATTTGTTTCAGCTATAACTAGTCTATAAATAGCCACTATTAATAAAGCTTATCTGACTGTTAAAGGTTATAGAAATAGTTATACAAAAAAAGATCAAAACAGAACACCGATCTTGTAAATATTTAACATGTCACAAGGGATGTTTCAATTTCTGCTATAAGAACTGAAAACTGAATTCTTTCACTAGGAATTGGAACTTAAGAGTTTATGGCCAGAATTCTAAGTTGGTTGAAAATGGTCCGGAATTCATTATCCTTAATTGCTTTTTTATTTGCAGATGAGTCTTTCCTCCTGGATGGAGAATTTTTTTAGTTATTGCTAACTCTACAATTTGACATTGAGTAAAATTTACCTTAAATCTGTGCTGCATATTTTGGAATAATGCACAAAGCAATGCAAGCCACATCGCTGTTTAAATGACCTGAGGTGCCACACCCAGTCCTCCTTATTCATAGAGCATACTGAACTCTCCATGGGTAACGAAAGTCATACATACTGGGAATAGTTTTCCCGTGCCACATGTAGACAAACCATGGGTGCTGTATATCTAATACACTACGCAAATCAATATACATATATATGCAAAATTATAAAAGAATATAGTCCTGTAATGTGTAACAAGACACTGTTTGAAGAAATCGCACCAAAATTAGGGGCCACAGTTTGGGTGCTATTTTCTTGTCACAATGACACAAATCATTACTGAATCTGAAAAAAAAAAATGCAGTACTGCACAGTTCTGTTAGAAGAGTCTTCTAAAACAGACACAAGAGAATAGTTGAAATCATGCCTAATAAAACATATGATATGCATTTATTTTATTTTCTATTTTCTCTTTCCACAGCCTGCTGAGGTCTTCAATTTTGAGGGTACAGTGTACTGTCATCACATGTCTCCCATTGCAAGGAAACACTGTTTGATAGCAGGTTTGTAGCTGCAGCTCTTTTATTTTCAGGAAGCTACAGGCAGGATTTGTTTAATGGAATTTGTAGCTCTTTCTTTCTAAATGTCATATGCAGGCTTGTAGGAGAGTGTGTTATAGAATTAAACAGAAAGAAATGTATATTTGAATATTAAATAAGAAATGACCTTGTGCCATATTCCGTACAATTCAGCCAATGCATAAATCCAAATAGGCTTATTCTTTTCTTTCAGACGATAGTGGCAAAGGCTTGTGTGTACAGAGCAACAATTAACAATTTATATTATGCATATGAGAGAGCCCAGCTGAAGAACCTTCACTTCTGACAGAGCCCTATTCATGAACAGAGGGAGTCACTGGCCTTAATTATTGCAGTAAATCCAAGCAAAAAAGATTTTCATTCTGAAATTTTTAATTACCTTTTTCCGCAATAAGGTATAAAACTAAACGTGATACTGTGCTTTTTATTTTATCATATGAACATTTATTTATTTCAATATGTAGTTACAAAAAGTAAATTTACTTTACAGGTGTTGGATTAAGATTTTGGGGAACTTCACAGTACAGTAAAGCTTCATTTAGAAGTCATACACCAGAGTGATACCTGAAAAAAAATCAAGTATATAATACAATTGCAAAATATAGAAAAGACTACATCCACAGATGGAAACGGATTTAGGTTCAGAACTCAGACTTCATGCAGAAATGCAGTTTAGATAGTGGAATGTTTAAATAGATAAGATCTTGTAAAACTTGTATTAACTTTGACTATGAAGCACAGGCAAATTGTTCCCTTAAAATGTGTTAATCCTCATTATTCAAAGAATATGTATTTTGGTGTGTTATCCCTAATTAAAACTTTCTTAATGACCAGTCCTTGTCATCAGTATCCCCTCTAGTATTCAGATATTTTCTAATCCAGAGGAAGGTGTTATACCATACGATGAATCCAAAACCCTTCATTATTTTGTATGCTTCTTTTTCATTTCATGTTGTGCTATCTCTCTTGTATGTTTTTTTATTTAACTGACCCTAAGAAATGTAAATGTGGGATTTTAGCTTCATGTAAACACACTAGCTATATTTTCACAATAACATATGTGTACAAATAAGTTAAATAAAGTAGAAGGGCCACATTATATAGCATTTGTTTACTGGGGAGAATTGTTTACTGGTCTGTCTTAAATGGTAATTTGCTTATTTCCTTAAAAAAATTAAGTTTAAAATAAAATCAATCTCCCCCAAAAGTTTAATCTAAGCGTCTTTGTAAACTGTTGTACAATAAGTCTCTTTGTAAGGTCACCTTGAGTTGATACTATTTTTGGAAAGAGGAAGATAGTCTGACAAAGTAGCTCCACTTGCAGTCTAGCTGCTTTCTGTCCAAACAAGATTGGCAGGTACCAAATACCAGTTGCTGCAACACCCGAGTTTCTAGTGTTCTGGAATGTAATGTAAAAAATGTAGCTTATGTATCACTCCACTTCTGTTTAACATGTGAGGCTTTTTCAAATGGAATGTTCTTGAAGGATGGATTGAAGTTCGTGCCTTGATACACAATACGATGAGAAATGTTTTTGAAAGAGGATCTTGTTTTCACCAGTACAAACATTTGTTTGAACATGTAGTTACATTGTGGTTTAAACAGAAGCAAAAACTATATCTCCACCATTAGTTAATTAGTAATCACATTCTTTTGGTTCTCTGTTAATTGTTAAGTTCAAGTTAACTGTTAATTTAAAAGTATTGGATTCACAGATTAAGTTTATGAAGGGTTTCTATGTAAGATATGACTTTGCCGACTGCAATGAAAAATTTTGTTTGCAAGCTGTATCTTTCCGACTTTCTGTATATGATATTTAAAGATGTACTAGATTGATTTTATTAATCATTGCATTTACTGTATATAGCATGTTTCACTTCAAAAGCACAGTATCTCAGATTGAGAAGTGAGAGGTTTCATTATCAATTACATTTAGGGGAAACTTTTAGTTATGTTAGACTGTGCAAGCCTTGTGTTGAATTTAGCTAGATACTTGAGTTAACACCTGTAGTCTTGTGCCTCATGGGATCTTAAATCACTAAGTAGCCAGGACCTGGAGTGTGTCTTGACTGCAAAAGAGCAAGCAAAGGCTAATTCCACGTTTCCAGAAACACATTTCCGCTGTAGAGCCTTCTTCACATCTAACCATTGCTCTACGCCAAAACATTGTGTTTCTCCTTTCTATTTTTCAGTGTGGAATTAGACATTAAAACAAGAAACAAGGCTCCCAAAAGATATCCTACAACAAAGTGACCTTGATCTAAATGTATTTTTCCAATTCAGGGGTGCAAGGAATTTAGAGACTATCCTGGCAAGCAACTGAGGCAAGGCATGGTACACTCAGGATAGGATGCAGATCTGTCACAAGGGCAGATAAACACACATACACTCATACCAGGTTCAGTTTTCCCAGAAACCAAAGAACCGGCCACTATGTTTCGGCAAAGTGTGAGAGGAAACTTGGAGCACCCAGAGGAAACCTACGTGAATATGGGCAGAACATACAAATTGCGCCCCAGGTCAGGAATTGAACCGAGGGCCCCAGCACTGCAAGGCAGCAATGCGAAACACTGTGCCACCCTACTACAACATTAGTTTGGAAATTCAGTAATGGAGGGAAGAGTGCTGTCAGCCCAGTTGTACCATTAACAGCAACAACCTAGTTTTCCCAGGTCTCCCACGCCTTTACTAACCAGGCTATAACACTTGCAGTACCAGTCCTACAGTGTCATTTGACTTATTTAATGAAAACTAATTTCAGTTCTATGATTTGACGAGCTCTGATTTCACTGTGGGCTTATAGAATTGTGCACATTGAACGTAAATGCGTTATTCTTCTCCTATTTGAAAGGACAATGATCTTTTTGTAGGTCTCTCTCCGTAAGGAAGCAGTTTGTCACTGAATCCCTCCTATTGTATTTCTTTCTGCAGTTGGTACCAAAGATCCCAAAGTACAGCTGTGTGACTTGAAGTCTGGTTCTCGTATCCACATTCTGCAGGGTGAGTGCTGTGTATGGAAGCTAATGGCACAACAAAGGCGTTTTGAGTGGACTGTGCACCAAAAATAATTTTCTGATTGAAGAGACGTGTTTAGTTTCTTTATCATATCCAAAGCCATAACTTCAAAAGATCAGATTTCTCTGGTCTTGCTACACTGTTTTGAACTGGCTCCTTTTTAGTTACTAAAGTACTCAATGACATCAAACAATTACTCTTATTTTAACTTTAACTCTTACTTTTGCACACAAAAGCCTGCATATTACTTGTTGTCAATAATATATGTTCATTACTGTGATAATTTGACTTTATTGCTCTTTTGTGTTGTCTTAGCATTTAAATTTACAAGCAAAGTCGTAAATACCTGAAGGCTTGCTCCTTCCCTGGGTGTGTTTTTTAACAAGTGTGTGAATTATTTGAGCAATGTAGTCCTCTTTCAAAGTTGTTTCTTTTTACAATACTTGCAAATTAACAAGGGTAGTGGTGAGGGTGGTACTTTTTTTTTCTTGTGTTATTTATTGACATAAGTGGTTTTAATTCAATTTGAATTACTTTTTTAGCCAAACTGGAAGAAAAAAAAATGGTTATGTTTTCAAAAGAAGGAGACTAGATATATTCTGAAAATGATTATTTTCAGGAAAATTAGTCATGGTTATGTTTTTAGTTCTCAGCTGAAAAAAAAACAGTTTGGTCAATTAAGTACTCCTATAGTTAAAAAACTTTACAGCCTCATAACTCTTTTAGACTGTTACATTGTATACTGCATATTCATCCATTTTCTAATCGCTTCTTCGAATATAGGCTCACAAGGGTACTGGTGCCTATTCCGGTAAGCAATGGGTACAAGGCTGGACACGCCCAACACAAACAACCACTCACACTAGGGCGTGCTTTCCCAGAAGCCAATTCATCTACGGTATGTTTTTGGGCTGTGGAATTAAACCGGAGCACCCCGAGGAAACCCACAAGAACACAGGGAGAACGTACAAACTCCACACAATTAGCACACTGGACCTGGAATTGGAGTTATCATTTTAATAATCATTTATCATTTATTTTAATCATTTTCATAGCCTTACTTTTAAAAAAAGTCAGACTTGTTTGTCTATAATTACTTGGCTCAGTTTTCCCACCGTCTTCATGGATGATTGTTATTGTTAGAAATTCTTCAGTCCCTGGGTACTGCCCCTGTCTTAAGCAACTTGGACAGTTGTGTCAGTAGGTTCTGAACAACATGCCTCATTTTCTTAAGTATAAATGGTAAAATACCATCAAGTCCTGGGGATTTATTCATCACGAGTCTTTCTGGTAGCCTAAACACCTAATACTAGTGCTAATACTGTTTAATACTGAACTTTGTCCCTCTGCTGTCTGAGGCCCGTTGTTGACTTCTTCCTTAGTGAACACCTGAGGGAAATACCCATTAAGTACATTTCCCTTTCAATGTCTCGAAGATATTTTGTCCTGGATAGATTTGACTTTTTTATATTCTTTTTATTTGTTTTTAATAATATCAACAACAGCAATTGGGTTTACAGCATACTCATCATTAACAGATTATCAGATAGCCAATAAGGCAGCATCATGTCCAGTGATACAAAGAAAAAAAACAGATTACAAAATAATGTAATATGGCATATAGGGACAGCCCTCCAATTCCAAAATACTACTAGAAAAAAAATACATTTGAATTGGTGATTTTCAATATAAGACCAAAGGGGTGACCAGATCTTCCAAAAATGTTCAGGTCTCGAATATGTTAGTTTTTCTAGGGGTAAAAATATAGCTACCTGAGAAAGCCACATTTCAACCGTCGGCACCTTGAAGACAGGCCAAAGTAGCAATATACAATTCTTTGCAAAATGAACCAACACAGAAAATAAACACTCTGAGACTTTATCAAATGTAACAGTATAATCGCTTTGTAGAAAATAGAGGTCTGCAGACATAGTAAAATGTATACCCAAATTTTTTTCAATGACAGAGTGCACATTACTCCAGTAGTGTTAGATCTTGTCACACTGCCAGAAGCGATGAATAAAGGTACCTATATGTGAGTGGCACTTAAAGCACTGATTCGATCTACCTGGGTATATCTTGTGCAGGCGGACTGGGGTTAGATAGAATTTATTGAGAAAATTGAAATTAAGCTCTTGTATGGTAATAGAGGTGCATTTTGGATACTGCTTCTCACAGATTGTCAGCCAGTCCTCCTCAGTAAATGAGTGTCCCAAGTCTCACTCCCAGATAGTTTTCAGTGGTGTGTATGATGATCTACAGTTATTGACCAGTACACTATATAACTTTGCTAACATTCCTCTAGAGCCACCAGGAGAAAGCTCAAATCTCAACCTGTTTTCTTTCACAAGGGATAGAATATAATGCCGAATTATAAGGAATTTTGGTGGTGGATTCAGGCAATGATCCTGCTACCTTTCGCTTGACAGTTCTTTTGCTGTTGTAGTACTGAAATAACTTTTTATTTTAGCTTCCATTGCGGTATAACTTTCAGCTTTGCACTTCACCTTTTTAATATCCCTTTTTTACCATTTTATACCTGATTGTTAAGTGTAAGAAAAAAGCATTCACTCCTGTCTTAAAGTCACTAGAAATCCATACTTGACTTTTTATAAAACGAGTTGTTGAAATAGTTGCTGTAAAGTGCTAAAATTTCAGAACAGTCACAAGTGTTGTTTTTTTTTTGATGGCCAGAGTGTAATGATAACTCAGTGAAAGTGAAACTTACTCTGGGTGTAGCAGGTAATTTGATCTTCAATTTAGTATTAACTTTATCAATCTGTTCCATTGCTGTATAGGTAGTTTCATTGTTTTTTTTTTTCGCTTATCCCTAAGAGGTTTACACTGAAAAGGCAAAGATTTAAAAAATGTTACAATATCTGTTTAATAAGTATCGGTTGCCTTTTTGGTTCTCTATGCCTATTGAATGTGGTCTTGCTTGCAATTTTGCCTGCCAGTGGAAATCTTGACCCAGACCCACTCTTATTCTTAAAAATGTTGTATTAAAATATGTATTGATGTTGTGGATATTCTAAAAATGTCAGCTTTAAATTCATACTGTTTGCCAATGCTTGTATTTTCCTGTACAGAGAGGTCTAACATGACTGTTGTCCTTTAGGTCACAGGGGAGAAGTGCTCTCTGTGAAATGGTCTCCTCGATATGAGCATATTCTGGCAACTGCAAGGTAAAGGAAATTGCTGTATGTTCTCCAGCAGAACTCTCGCATTAAGAGACTGTTTGCACATGTGATTTATGCAAATAAATTAAATTCCTATATACCCACCAATTATAGTATCTTAAATAATTTTTCAGACTAACTTTTCAATGAGTGTTTCTTAATAATAATTCCTTACACTTACAGTATATAGTCCTTTTCTGGACACTCCACTCAGAGCGCTCTACAGGTAATGGGGACACACCTCCTCCAATGTGTAGCTCCACATGGATGATGCGACAGCAGCTAAAGTGTGCCAGAACGCTCACCGCACATTAGCTACCAGTGGGGGGAAGAATAGAATAATGAAGACAATTTACAGATGAAGATTATTATTAGGAGGCCATGACTGGTATAGGTCAGGGGTAAATTTGACCAGGACACTGGGTTAACCCCCCTGTTCGTTTTGAGAAATGCCCCAGGATTTTTAATGACCACAGACTGCAGGGTGAGCACTCTCTACTGGTCCCGCTAACACCTCTTCCAGCAACCTTAGTTTTTCCCAGGAGGTCTCCCATCCAGGTACTGGCCAGGCTCACACCTGCTTTGCTTCAGTAGGTTGCCAGTTGTGAGCTGCAGGGTAATGTAGCTGCTGGCTTTTTATAATACCCAATTTTGAAAACGGAGGTTCTTGTTGTCTTTCTTTGCTATTCCGTGTTGTGGATGTTTAGTCAAGTTCTCGATCCCGAAAGTATGACGCCAGTTTTCCTAGAAGCCAATTAACCTACCAGTTGGGCTTTGGACCTGGGCAGGAAATCCACACAAACGTAGGGAGAATATGTAAAGTCCACACAGACAGCACCCCAGGTCTGAAATTTGAACCCAGGGCCCCAGCACTGGGAGGTACCCGTGCTACAATTCTGCCCATATTCATATTTCATTTAAATATATAATTCATATATTAATTGTGTTTCCTATATAAACACCTGTGTTCTATTTTAAGGTGTTACTCTTATCAGAAAATAATAAAAAACATTTAGATGTACCTATAGTTTATACAGTAAAAAAATTGTTCTACTGAATAAACACAATACACAAAACCTTTTAGTGCTTATTTAAATGAGATCACAGTTCTACAGAAGAGCTCCTCAGGATTTTTAAAATTTAAGTCAACAGCCTATTTTTGTGTACCTCCTGGCAGTGCTTCTACCAAGGGCATACTTGATAAACAACACTAATACTGTTGTTCAGAGTATTTGTGTAAGTGAAATGTTATCCAGGGGTGTGCACACCTGACTTGCTAAGTTTTTATTCACTGAGGCATGATATATTAATTAACCAGTGGGGAAGCTCAAAGTGTTAGGCAGCTTGCAAAATCAAAAAATTGACTTTGTGTACATAGTTAAGAAATGATACAAAGCAAAACATTTAGAGGATAATGGGTTGCTAAAATTTATTTTGTGCACAAATCACGTCATTCTTTTTAAATCATTGTATTGTATTAAATAAATAAACACACAGTACAATAAGTCCATCCAACTATTATCAGTAAGCAGCTCTAACTTGTGTGTTGCACAGCAAACCAGAGCATATCACTGTAGCACTCAGAGCAAGGAGGGACTGAGAACAAACTATTGCTCTCTCCCTGTCTGACAGGCCAGTCCATTGCAGAGCCACAGAGAAAGAAACAAACTACCCAGCTTGTCTTAGGCTAGAATCAAAACTTTAGGCATCAGTGCTAACCACCATACTGCCCGTATGCAAAATGTCAAAGTGCAGTTTGTGGGGTTTGCCTAAGTGATCCAAATTCACTCTAAATATGATCCAAATTCAATCAATTTTCAAAAAATAATGCAGGATAAAGAGGTAAATCTGGCCATGCTTATTATTAAATTATATAATATATACAAGGTTCGCCTTCAGCCTTAAAACAAACAAAGGCAATTGATGAATGTTCTGAAAGCTTCCATCAAAATTACCAGATCAGCATATGAAACACAACATACAATTCAAACTAATTCAAAAAGTTGAGTTTACACTCCCCCGAGCTAAAGCATATCCCCCCGTCTTTTTGTTAATTTTTGGATTTACACGCAGTACTATTGGTTCACTTAAATTCAATAACAGTTGGACTCCCCTGATGGATGTCGTTATATTGGAATACAGTTGTGATACAGAGGAATGAATATGCTGAAAGAGACCCTTGAGAAGTTAGAAGACTGAAGTAATATTTTGTGCTTCCTTTAGCACTGACAGCCAAGTGAGAGTGTGGGATGTGAGGAAGGCATCAGGAAGCTTATTTACACTAGACCAGCACAATGGTGAGAAGTCTAAAGCCTCATCAGAGGCAGGTGAGTGAAGCCAAACTCAGCTGTAATATTGAAGACTGGTCCCTTGAGCTTCCCGGGTATATTCCATGCTTTTTGCACGACATAGCACCTAAAACTCCTTTATGGTAAAACATAGTAAAATGTTAAACATACACAATTCTACATGGTTAATTAAGTATAAAATTAATGCATTTGGTGTCTTAAAGGTAAGAAGGTTTATTTAAAAAATATTCTAAAATCCAATAATTTCAAGGATGTTTTGCATACATTGCAAAACTTGGATCAAAGATGATTCTCGGCCTAAATATATGGATTGATTCTTATACCATAAATAGTGAAACTGAAGTTGTAGAGAGTAACAATACAATTAGTGTTTGATTAATAACAGGTTTTGTGCAAACATTTGGATATCATCAGCATAATAATGAAAATGGATGCCTACACTATGAAGAACTACCTCCAAAGTAAACATGCATACAGTATACTTAACAAATAGCCGAAGGACAGAGCTCTGCAAGTTGCTGATGGCCTGATTTGGGCCAGTTGTGACTACCTTTGTCAAGGTGAAATAGTCACTAATTTGAACAGATTTTCTATCTGATAAGTTTATGGGCCAAAGGAAGAGTTTCACAATTTAGAAATATACTGATGGACTATATGGCTTGTGAGAATTTCAAAATGTAAGCACAGCAAGTCTAAAGAATGTGATGATAAGTTTTATTTTAGTGATCATGAAAGTTTTGAAAAACTCCATCTGGTTGCATTGACTTGTTGCATACGCTTTTCAAGAGTGGTATTTGGAACTAGATTTAAGGTCTGATAAATTATGGAAAAAGGGTTCAAGGATGACATTTCCCTTTTTCTATTAGCTTCCCAAAGCACACTGATCTAGTGGCAGTCGGTTCATTTGAGAACCTGGTCAAGATACCAAGGAGAAAACAGTGAGATGAGATTGACCCAGGTCCCCAGAACTGTTGTTGTTAGAAACTGTTAGAATGCTAGAGTGCATTCTGTTATATAACCAGAACCATTTGGCTAAGATTTATCTGTAAGAAACAGTGGAAAGAAATATTTACTGTAACCATGTGACGAATTTCCTACAGTGGAAATTACGTATCCTATGCATCAACATGGATGGTGATTTTAGTTTTTGGGAAGCAAATGTAAGCAAAATCTTACAAAATCTTTTGCTGTTTGGACCAAATATATTTGGTCCTTCTTATTAATATTTCTGCATATATGTGTCAGATGTATGTATGTATCTCATGTTTATAGGGTATTTTGAACCCATTGTGTGGGCATTCTTAGGCCTGAGTTTCAGCCGCTGTTCACATAATAATCTCAAACTTCTTTTCTCATCATGTTTAAGAAAACTTTATAGAATATTTTATACCCGTGAAAATTGTGTATGATAATATGATGTGAAATCTGATATTGTGTTCACTGCTTTCATCTTGGGCTGCCATGTTGTTAAGACAGAGCTGAAAAAAAGAGTTATTATGCATTTATAGTGTAGTATTTATTGTTTTTCAGCAGGCTATTTCCTTTATATCCCCCTTTGTGAATTAATATGAGATTATTTTCTTCAGTATCTGTTATTTAGGCCAGAAACTGGTTTTTTAGACTAGACTGAAGATTAAAACTAAATAACTTGTCATTTTACAATTTTATCATTGTCAGCTTTCTTCTTATTTATGTTTACATTATTGTATTTATGTGCCAAGTATTCAGAAAGAAAGTATGAATCAGAACTTTAAAGGGTAGTCAGAGTATTTCAGAAAACACTGATCCAATCAACATTTTAAAATTGGAGGAGAAGCAAACCTGCCTAATGAGTTTAAAGAAATCACCAAAATATTTGTGTTGTGGCAAGAACTGAACAAGATACCCAGACATTTAGTTGAAGCCGATATCCAGGCTTCTTTTACGAAATAGCCATATTAGATCCTCACATCAATTAGCTATTAACTACCAAAAGGGCTTAATGGGCTGAATGGCCTCCTCTTCTTGTTTATAACCTTTCTGATGTTTTAATGTCATGCCAGGGTAGGTGGACTGATGACAGGGTTAATTTAAAGAAAACACTGATGCTTAACTATGATTTTTAAGTATTACTGGCATGAGTTCTATATATATATCGCCTTAGGCAATGAAAAAGACTCACAAATAACACAAAACGTTAACAAGAGCAGGGCCTTTTCATAAAAGTTGATGCCCTCAGGCCTCTGGTAGTTTATGATGGGAAGTGAACGGCATTTTGTCTGAGTGGCATATGGGTCTTGTGGTAGCTAACACTGCTCACAATGGACGCGTCAATGGGCTGTGCTTTACCAGCGATGGACTCCACCTTCTGACCACTGGGACGGATGACCGCATGAGACTGTGGAACAGCGCCTCCGGAGAAAACACTCTGGTATGCAATATTGAGTCATTCCTACAGTGCCAAGTGGAGCTTTAATGAAGTTCACACAAAGACTTTCGCCTCAGACATATAACATTGGAACTATGATAAACGGCATGTTGTGTAATTTATCAATAATTTATCAATGTAATTAATAACAGGTACATGGCCGGGTACATGGAACTAGAATAAAAATGAGCAACAATTATTTTTTTATCAAAGTTAAACCAAAACTTCATTTCACTTCTCCAGCAGTCCGGGAAGTTGAATTTCAAGAAAAACGTGTCATTCCACAGATGAGAAAGATAACAAATCTGGTTTACCATTACAGTCACCCTTTAAAGGCCGATCTAAATTTTAAGTCAATTGTAAGAAATATTTGCTGTAAATATAATATATATATAACATGTTACTTTTTCACAAATACACCTGCTTACAACAAGGGAGTTTCATATCTTTTAATTGTTGCTATTACAGTATTTTAGGAAACACAAAAAAATATATATAATTTTCTTATTTTTTAAAGTATTTTGCCAGTGAAAAGGGGGTTCTCAGATATCAGCCTGTTCCTTCAAGACTAAACCACTGTGCTACATCGATTTGTAATTGCCTTTCCTTTTTGTGATACTTTTGTTCCTCAGTTATTCACCTTCATTTTGAAAACGGCATTTCCTGTAAGAAAATTTGAACAGAATTCAAAACTAATTTTTGCAGGTGAATTATGGGAAGGTTTGCAACGAAAGTCGCAAGGGGTTGAAGTTCACGTTGTCCAGAGGCTGCAGCCCGGAGTTCGTGTTTGTGCCCTGTGGTAGCACCATTGTGGTGTATGCCTTGTACACTGGAGAGCTGGTCACTGTACTGAGAGGGCACTATAACAATGTGGACTGCTGTGAATTCCACCCTGACCTGCAGGTGAGAGACAGTCATTGAGTACAATAAAAGGAGCAGCTATATAAATGATTCAGATATGTGATACAGGTTTTAAAAGATACAGTATGTTATCAGAAATTAAGGGCTTTATCATTGAGTTCCCTTTGGTGTTCAGCTCCGTTGTTAGGCTTAGTGTTAGGGCCAAGCTACCCTGAGGTGGTAAGAATTGAAGGTGTGGCCCCTGACATTTGTCCCAGTTGACGGTGTGCCAGCCAACTTTACTAAGGTGTTCCTTTTAAAAAAAGATCTTAAACATTCTGTGTTTGTAGAAACTGTATCTGTATGTATTAAGTTTTCAACCTATCACCCTCCAATATAAGGAGTCATCGATAAGGAATGTTATCTGACGATTGTGTTGTGTGTCTTTTTGTAACTTAATATGACCAGGAGTTTGCTTATCAAGCAAGTGTTAAAAGCTTTTACCCCCAAAAGGGGCTGTCAGTTACTATGTGACCTTTAATCAGCAGCCATATCACCCTGCAACTCACAACAGGCAGCCCACTGAAGCTAAGCAGGTGTGAGCTTGGTCAGTACCTGGATGAGAGACCTCCTGGGAAAAACTAAGGTTGCTGCTGGAAGAGGTGTTAATGGGGCCAGCAGGGGGTCCTCACCCTGCAGTCCATGTGGGTCCTAATGCCCCATTATGGTGACGGGGACACTATACTGTAAACAGGCGCCGTCCTTCTGATGAGACGTAAAACTGAGGTCCTGACTCTCTGTGGTCATTAAAAATCCCAGTGCGTTTCTCGAAAAGAGTAGGGGTGTAACCCCGGCGTCCTGGCCAAATTTCCCATTGGCCCTTACCAATCATGGGCTCCTAATAATCCCCCTCTATGAATTGGCTCAAGTCATTACTCCCCACTAATAGCTGATGTGTGGTGAGCGTTCTGGCGCACTATGGCTGCCGTTGCATCATCCAGGTAGATGCTGCACATTGGTGGTGGTGGAGGGGAGTCTCCATTATCTGTAAAGTGCTTTTAGTGGAGTGTCCAGAATATATAAGTGTAAGCAATTATTGTTATTATTAAAGTCTGTTTTTTTCTTTAAGAATTCGCTCCTGATTTCAAGTTTGAAAAAACAGTTCCTGATTATTTCTAATGAGAAATTAGAAAATTAGAAAATAGGTGGTAAAATGCATAGACCTTATGATGTATAATATGATCAATTTTACATTTCAAAATGTATACGAATTTTCCGCATAAAGAAAATATGAAAAATGGACCAGCTCCAGATGGCAGATTCCTACAATTTTATTCTTCCTAGAAACAGATTTTAGGGAACTCTCTGTGAAAACAACATATCCCACATAGTGTAGAAAAGAGGAAAACAGTACATGACCCAGTGTGTGCTTACAGAACTAATTTGTGGATGTTTTGGAAAATTATAGTTTGAATTAAAAATTAATTAACGTGCTGTTTGTTTTTTCCTTATCATATTCAGCATTGGGGAATTGTAATGATATTTTAACATATTAAAACAGAATAATAAATCGGTAACATCAGAGATCATTTTGCTTCCAACTGTTCACAAAGTGAATGGATGCTCATTTTGTCATTGCCATATTGACAGGAACTAAATGTGAAATAATAGAACTGATCAGTGTTGCATGTCCTCTTGTCTCGGTACAGTTTCACAAATGTAAAATGTAATTCACTTTGAAAAATCCTCATACTAGTTGATAATTCCCATATTTGAGGCACATCAACTCATTGGACCCCCTAGATAGGACACATGTCCATCACAGGTAGAGTATTACCCCCAGCAATTATGGTCCCCAATTATACAGTTGGGCAGATTGGAGCAACTGGGGTACAGTACCTCTGTTAAAGTACCACAGACGTTCCGCAGGACGGACCCATAACTCCCCTTTTATGAGACCTGAGACTTAACCTACCGCATAATTCTGTCCTTTTCCATACAAATACTCTGATTAAAATTGCTGTATTTACAAAAGGGTTCTCAGGCATCACATTTTCTCTTCTCTTTTTTCCTATTATTCTTTATTATAATTGTTTCTTAAGTTTGTAGATTAGATAGTTAAGTGTCTGGCAGAAATTATTCTGTTTTTGATTACAAGGGCCATCAGGTCCTCCCAGATGGTTACAGTATTCAAAGTCCATCAGCAAAAACAGAATGGAATTTGAAAGAGCCCCTGAGCAGCTGGTCTTGGTCTTTCCATTCTGTCTTGGCTGATGGACTCTGGGGATTGATCCTTGCCAGAGAGGATTTCCTGCCAATAGACTTTAAACAAATAAAAACAAACAAAAAAAATCTTTCAGATGTATTAATTCAAACAGTCTTATGCAGGGTCTAAAGATTGTCAGCATCTGTGAAGTTATTCCAGATTTACTCCAGAAGCTAGTCACCTTCAGGCAGATAAGGATTCTCTGCATCTTCGTCTGTCTGGCTTTGCGTTACTGAAGCAGTTCTGTATATCGTTCCTGTTGGTTTCTTCTTATATGTGTTTTTACAAACGCATCAGTATCAGGGGACATTTTGTCTCCCATTAAAATGTGTTTTTTTTTAAAAGTTTCCTCATAAACACCTCCTGATATTTTTGTCTGTGAAGTAAGACTTAAAAAGAGGTTAAATGCAAAACATGAGGAAATACTGAATGTGCTGATAACATTTAAAGCCTACTTCCTTTTCAGTATATTTGGCATTTGTATCTTTTCTATTTATTTTGTTTCCTTTTTATACTTGCAATTTATCTGCCTACTTTTTGGGACCACATAGTTATACATAGGTTACAGCATTCTATTTAAACACATGAAAGACCATTGTGACTGTCCATTGTGAGGTCAGAATGTGGAGATTTTGTTTTTCAAATCCGACCAAGTAAAAAAGTAGAAAGACAAAATATAGTAGAAAGGATTTTACTGAGGCTTATTTTAAGCAGATACAATGGTCTAAGGCTCACATTTTTTTTTTATTTTAATAGTTTTACTCCTTTTTCCTATTATCAGGATCTCTACAGTGGTGGAAAGGACTGTAACATTCTAGCCTGGGTTCCTTCTCCTCGGAAACCTGCTCTTGAAGATGACACAGAAGGGTCCAACAAAGTAAGTGATGACTATGGCGTCCATCGTAGGTACTTTTCTTTCCATGTTAAAGGGGAACTGCAGTCCAAATTTCTCAGACTGGTCTTAGTAACAAAATAAATTCGATGACGGTATAGAAAAAAATCAGAAATTTCTAATTAAGCACAAAATCCTGATCCTTGTGAAAGTACTGTAAGTCGCCACGTTGTCTCAAACTCGCATTCGAGTTCCCACAAATTGTCACGTGATACGGCCCTTACTGCTCACTTTTTACTGTAATGACTAATGAAAGAGTGGAAAGAGCGATGGAAGAGTGAATTAAGTACAGGTTGTGTAGCAGATATTACATCGCAGAAAGTTTCCAATGTCATCTGCATGCAAAGTTAACACGTAAGTTCCATTTATCAGCAAAACCATCTTGAAGTCGAGAGCAATATTTCTATTGGATTAAAAGAGATATATCCACAAGCCTGAGGCCTACATCACACCACTGGAAGTTTTGTTGCTTCGTTCTGAATCGCAGAATTTGGAGCTGGGCATACCTGGAAATTTTGTCTAAATTGTGGTGTAATTTGGAGGTTTTACAAATTACTGTGTACATTTTACTTTTATTGTGGTTTTAAAATGCCCTCATCACTGCTGATTCTTTCTAACTCAGAAATATAGAAATATAATTGCAGCTCCCCTTTAAAATCCCCTTTTGGCTCTTTTATGGACAAGTTTAATATTTTTTTAGAAAGTCATTTGTATCATATGTACTCAGTCTCTGTATTCTCCTTTAATGGTTATTAACAGCTACTTCTGTGTTCTGGTATTCAGTGTGATTTTTAACCTCTAAAATACTGTTACAGTACCTAATGTCTTTTTATAATTTAGATTATAAAGAGTTGAACTGTTATTAGAAAATCTAAAAGTGAGAAATGATCAAAGTAGTGTTTAAGAACACCAAAGTATATTTTAGGTAATTGTTAATACATTTTAAAGCTTTTATTTCTGCATACACAAAAATAATCTGTACCATTTTCTTTCTAAAGAGTTAAATCTGAGTTTTTGCATTTTCTTAACAGAGTGGGAACCAGTCAAGCTTAAATCCAGCTTTTGAAGATGCTTGGAGTAGCAGTGATGAAGATGGATGAGTGTATTAATTTGTTGTAAAGTTCTTAAAAGCAGCAATTACAGGATAGAAAAAGCACAGTATCCATCACTATTTAAAATATTTGTTTCCAGGATTTCATCAATCAAAACGCCAGTGGTCATGTACATAAGAATGAAGTTTTTTTTACATAAATCTATTTTTTTCTGCTGCAAGTAACAGTTTAAGGTTTTGTTTATGTTTGGTTGTACAAAACAATCAAGTGGTATATTAAAAAAGTGTCTTATAAATGTATCTGAAAATGGAATGGAATTCTCTCAGCTGTATAAATTTTTAACTGAACTATTTCACGGCTTCTTCTTGTGTGGTTCTTGTTTCTGGTCCAGAACTGAAAGCTTGGGAGACAAAATGGGTCTTCAATAATTCAGTCCTACCTCCATTCTGCTGTATTTGATAGAGCCCTTCCCAAGAGGGATGGCTCTAAGAAACTGTTATATAATTTACTGTTATCTATATTTAGTGTTTTAATGTGTTTGTACAAAATCTGAATGCATGCTTGTATTTACATGTCAGTACTGCACAGAAGAGAGAATTTGGGAATACATCTTCTTTGCATGGGCTCAGTGTCTTAAGGACATTTAAACAAGGACAGTTTAAAATATTTCATATACAGCAGTATTGCCATCTTTTAGCCTGACCATAGCTTCTCGGAAATCAAATCTCGGAAGCTAATTAGGCTGTCCAGGTAGGTGGTAACTTTCTTCTTAATTTCTAAACCAATGCTTCAGTATGGCGACTAGGAATGAGGCATTTAACTGAGTACCTACATGGTCATTAGAGATGCCTTTAAACTATCTGAAAGACTGAGGATGCTAACCCTGGTTAAACACTGATCATGCACAATCTGGTCTGCATAACTTTTCAGTTGAATTCAAATGGTGAAGCAGTTTTTCACTTCATCCACTGATCTGCTGTGTAGTGAGACTTCTGGTGTAGAATGACTGCTATACTCCAGAAAGCGTGTGCTGCGTTTCAGAGGTGGATCAAGTGCTTCTATATGAATAGTGCCCTGGGATCATTTATGAAGAACCCTGTCCAAGAATAAGAATGCTTAAATTTGATAAAAATAGAGACAAATAGGGTTATGTACTGTATATTATTTGAAATAGTTTGAATGCTGGGAAATAAATCAATACTTTGGAGTTTCTTGATTAAATCGTCCTCTTTTGCATCTCATATTGCACCACATTTCTGTTTGACTTAATTGAATATAAGATATGGAACTGTGCTTACCTAAGATATTGTATGTTGATATTTAGTTTAGACAACGAGGCACCACTTTACACAAAGGGTTGTGGAGTATGGAACGAGATGCTTAACAATGTAGTTGGGCTCAAACCCCTGGGTTTTGTCAAGAAACAGCTGAATGAGTGTTCATTGAATGAATCCTTGGATAAATTAACTATCAAACAGAATAATCAGACGGAATGGCCTCCTGCTTCATACTTGTAATCTTTCTTATATTACTAAACCACAGTGAAAATACTTTCTTCTTGTACCTCAGCCAGCTATAGCTGATAGACGGGAGTGCAAACGATATACAGATATCAGCCTATCAGCTCCTTCATGAGCAACGTGACCGAGGTAGTTGTCTGAGAGGTCCACTGAGCCCGTTGTCAGGAACCATCTTTCCATTTTTTTTTTGTCCGTTACCTGGGTTCAGCTGCCATCACCTCCATCTGTTCCCGGAAACCCTGAACTAAAAACAAATAAGCAGCACACCTGGGTCTAATTCAGCTGGGAGTGCTAATAGAAAACTCAGCTGGTAGCCTGCGTGTTATCCCCCAAAGAAGGCAGAATGACTTTTCAGTGGTATAAATTTCTCCAGCCCTTGCCCTGTGAAGAACACTGTGTAAGGAGAACTACTGTAACAGAGGTTGTGCCTCAATAGTACTATGCAGTTACCGTTTAATTCTATCAGTGGAGTATGCCCTTCTATAACTTGCTGTGCAAAGAAGGAGAAAATTGCATTTTATTAGAAATGTTTTTTTTTAAATCTGTATGATTAATGTAGAATCCGCTTCCTAAATTTACAGCTTCAGGGATAAGCTTGTCTTACTAGTCTTTAAAGTTCAGAGCTTTTCTTGCAGTTTAAGGGATGCAAGAACCCGGAGGCACATCACTTCATTACATAAGGCTCATGTCTCAGGGGGAATTCACGTAGATGTTGGATACAAGGTGCTGTATAACTTAATTTTAGGTAAGAAATGGACTGTATACGCTGACGTGTGGTATCATTGCTCAGTGCTATTAAGTCATGCTGTTAAAAATGTCTTTACTATTAAAAACTAAAAAAAATCATTTTCATTAACCTGTAATTCTGTGTATAAATGAATTAAGTTATATTTCAGAACCATCCCTTCACTTTTAATAACTGCTCATCTGATTCAGGGTCATGGTGATCCTGTGAAACACTTATAGCATGGTGGGATACACCCTGGATGGGATGCTAATCCTTTGCAGAACAAACACACATACACACATACTGTACTCACACCAGGGCCAATTTTATAATTTCACAGACGTCATTTAATCAATCAGTATGTATTTGGATTGTGGGAGGAAACTCATGTACCCAGGGGAGACCATACAAACCCTATACGAACAGCACCCCAGGAATTGAACCCAGGGCCCCACCACTACAAAGCAGCACTATTAACCACTGTATTATCTTGCCATCCACTTTCCTCTCATTCGTAACCACTTTTCAGTAGGTGTGCAGGATGTAGATAAAACTGCTTCCTGTTAAGAACACAGTTACTTTCAAATGGTGAAATCTAAAAGAGACGTTGAAACATCACGTAATCTTGTTAGAAATAGCTGTCACCCACGTTTCCCCTGGAATCATTTCAAGTTTTTATTTAAAATGTTTTCTTTATACTGTGGTGATATGTTCGTGTTAAAACATTGTAAATGCACTTCCCTGTTGATTAATTTAAAAAAGAGGTGAGCAGTTCAATTGAAAATGGCCAATTAATGTACTCAAACACAACAATTGTAAATCAACATTGGGACAACTACAGCTAATTAAAATGATACTGCACAGACTTTATCCTCTTATGGATATTGATATTATTGATAAAGAAAAGAAATAGCACATTCAATATGAAAAAACAGAAGACACCAGTGACCGTGAAAAAGCATTTTTTGAATCTGAAGGAGGGTGTTCATACTGTGTACAGATTCCTTGAGACTGGCTTTGAAACAAGAGACAGATAAAATCTGTGCAAAGGTATGAGACGTTTACTCTGCGTGAGGAAATAGTCGAGAGGACAGTACATAGAAAACTATGCCATGAATGCTGGCCAACCGGTAAAGAGATAGAAACTTGAGCAATTTCATTAAGGCCTGGCATGTTTCTACTACATTCTTAGATGAATAGCCTCTCTGAATACCATCTCAGCATGCAGTACAAGAACAAAAATGCCTTTGCATAAGTAGGATACAATAGGATTATTTAGCTTTCATGTAATAATCTGTTCCTAAACTGGATAAAAATATATTATGTTAAATTATGGATATGAATTTCAAAGAGTAAAAATTACCCTTACATTCCTGCATGTACCAAAGTTAAAGAACTATGTATGACATTGTTTTTTTTAATGAGTAGTATTATAAACAGTTCAGGTGGTGGGTAGCCGCATCAGCATGCATAGGCTGCAAAGGAACAAGTAGTAGGTTTATTCCATGCTGAAAAGAGAAGAAAGAAAACACAACATTTCGGCCATGGAGCCTTGTTCAGGTGTGAACTCATGCTGACGCAGCTACCCACCTGAACTACTTCAACCTACATCTGCTACATCTTCCTCCAAATCTTTTTCTAGATCTCTTCGACGTTCCTTCTCTTCCTCCCTGGGTCACTTGCCCCCTCTCTTACTAAACCAGCACCTCTTCACAGCGATCTGTTCCAAGACCAGGCTTTCTAACCACCTTCTATTCCTTTGCAGATGTCGTCAACATAATAAGTAGCTCACACCTGAAGAAGGCTCCACGGCCGAAACGTTGTGTTTTCTTTCTTCTCTTTTCAGCATGGAATAAACATATTATCAACAGGCCACCCTCTCGGTAATTACAGTATAGAAAACAGAGCAAATGGCTTCAGCTGTTGAGGTCTGGGGAACATCTGATGCACTGGAAATCCTGTGAAACAGATTTTAAAATCTGTTGGGTTTTTTTCAGAGAAGCCAATACAAAGTTACACAAATTTAACAGAAGCAAGTGAGACAAATACAGTATAAGACAGGTCTTGCTCAGTCTTTTTTTAATTTACATCTTAAAATTGGAATTTAAACCATGTTTCATACCAAAATGTAGACTTCTTACTAAAATACCTAATATAGAACAGCAGGGGGCCTTTCCTAAATTTAATCCATGAGCCCTGGCACATAATTGTTTAATATAGTTTGCCAAGCACCTGGATATTGCTTTGAAAAGGCACTGACTTTCAGAAAACAAAAGCAGAAAGGGACTGTAATTTGTATCCACGGTGCTTTCTCCCAGCAAGTTGGTATCCTTGGAGAAAAAGCTTTTTATAATTACACTTTATTTTTGATTAAGCCTTTATAATTAGCTGCCTTGTGTTGTGCATGACATAGAATGACAGAACCTGAAAATGCAAGGAAGCACATCTAAATCTTTTCATTTGGCAAGAGGTCTCTCCACTAAGACATAAGGGGAACTTTCTTTTCACAAGGGCTCCTACACCGGAAGGCCTCACTTGGAGATTTCAGTTATTTTAACATTTTACAATAAATGTTTTCAATGAAGGCTTCATTTCACAAATTTTCTCATTGTTTTTTTGATGTGCGTGCCCATGTATGGTATATTTTGGAGAAATTACTGTATGTGTACATGTACAGTATGTCTGTTCAGTGCGGGGAAAGACCTATTGTACATTACAAAGTGATAGAGGAGTACTATCTGTACAACTACTGTCCATCACGATTCCTGGAGGGCCTAGGATCTTCCGGTTTCTGTTCTTCCCTTAGTTACGTAGCTGTTTCCTCTGACTCATAGTTTTCTCTGGCTCACTGTTTTTAAATTTGGAAAACCTTATGTTATTAATTATACAGTAATATTTATTTAAGAGAGGACTCTGGCCCTGGAGTGCTAAAGAGACTTCAGATTTGTGTTCACAATTATACCTAATTACCTAAAAAAAAAATCACCTCTTTAACTGATCACAGATAAATTATCCCTAGTCATTATGAATGATTTACTACCTCTAAGACCTGCCTAAGACATGGACTTTTCAAGGTTGGAGAGCACTGAAAGGGTTACAAAGCTCACAAAAATTACATTATTTTAAGGACTGGTGCTCCCATACTTAATACAGAGGAGCAGGGCAGTGCTTCTGCACTGTTAGTATGGTGGAATACTGTTTTTTGAACACCTACCTAATTACAAAGTAAAGCAGCTGAATAGGCTTACAACAATTTTGTTTTTAGTATGATGAAGATTTAAGAGATTCTATTCTAAAAACGTGTTCTTAGATTTAGTGAGATCACATTGCAACCTGTAGAATACATTACTATCACACCATGTGTTTTTTTAGATTTTTATGTGACGACACAATATGACGTTAACCAATGGCTAGATTTCCGGGGTCTGTTCTAAACGTCTTTTAAGTTGTCTCCTCCCTTTATTGAATCACATGGGCGGGCTCTCTCGGTAATGAATTATTGAGTTAGTCCCAGTCTTTCCTCATTTGTACGGGTGAAGGAGCACCAGGTGAGCCTGGAGGAGATACGGGGTGATCTTGCTCTTCTGCCAAGTGTCACAGGTCTGTAGAATAGTAAATCATAATATATTGGATTTGTATATTTCACTTATTACAAGAAACTTACACGTGCGATATATCAGAGCAAATACAATATATAATTTTAATTTGACATTAAATGTGGACTTACAGTACATTATAGTGCCATAAAATAAGTTGGGATAAAAATGTCAACCAGAGTAGCTTTTCACTTTTTTAACATGCTCGCAGCTGTGATCGACCGAATGAACTTGAACGTGATTTTTGGGCCTTTTGATATAGCTAGCGCAAAAATTCTAAAACCTTGGTTGCGTTGAAGTAACAACTAAAGCACGTACAAATCATTTTATGTTCTATTTCAGAATTTACATTGTTTGCGTAAAAGCATAAGCGGAGAATTGGGGGTGGAAATGTGGAAGATTTAAAGTTGCTCTCTGTAACCCTTCAACAACAAGCTTCTTTTTCGCATTTGGTGAGATACAGAAATGCATTATATATGACATTTATATTTTAAATTGACATAAGCTCATACTTTATTTAGGTAAAAGGTGGACTTCTCCGCGAAACAATGGTCATCTTTGTAAGTAGGTAATGAACACCTGTTACATTCACTACATCCACAGTGCGTGCAGGTGCCTCCTTTTCAGGCGTCATTAGTTTAACTTCACTGAAGGCGGGGTCGAGTTTATAGTGCGAGACGCCTTTTGCTTCAGGTGCGCTTGCGGTTTTGTACAAGTAACTATTACATTTTAACTTAGAAATACTAAGAAATAACTTAGTGTTAGTTTAAATAACAAACGGAATCTTTAGTGGTGGCAACTTTAATCAGTAACCAGTGTATTGATTCTGTTGCTCTCCCTGGGTGTAAGTAGCTACACCTTCGATATTTCCTGTTCTGCAAGGTGAAAAGAAAGATTATCACCGCAACATGTAACCAGTGCTATGGAGTGACAGTGAAAGGCAAACTAGTCAGGACGTAATTTAAGAGGCAAGTAACTGGATGTTCATTTCGGTAAATCGAAACGTTTTGCAAGTGGAAAATCACTAGAATTAAATTGTACTCATCTGGCCCATGAATAGAATCTAGGAGGTTTCTCTGCACAGGAGGGGTCTTATACAGTCTTTTTAATTGGAACTACTCCTAATTTGCTAACTTGTAGATTTTTATTTTTACAAATCTTGATTCGTTGAATGCTTTGAAACACTTGATGAACAAGATAGATTAGGATCACAATCTGGTTTAACATCTACAAGACTCGTGTCAGTGCAGTAATGGAAAATTTTAACTTGGCTTGCAATATCCATCCCGGTATTGAATATTATAGGAGCCCTCAAGAACCCTGAAGCTGCTAATCAACTTTTTTTTTTATGAAGGGCTTGTTAATGAGAATAGGAGTTCTTTTATTTTTTTATTTGCTGAAGTCAACAGGCAATAGTTCCCATGATCCCATGACTGTTGTGTATCTCTGACCAAAGCTATAACGGCTCATGGAAATGAGGCTTTGCTAACTCTGTTTGTTTTGCCTTTCATTATTACACTCCTGGAGATATGCACGCCCTGGTAGCGGAGAGCCTGTCCTTTGCCAACAAATGGCAGTTGCTAGGTGCAAAGATTTTTTTTCTGTAAGTAGTATCGGAGTAATGGGTTTATGAGCAGTCAATGCAAATGTAGTGCCCACTTCAAGAGCTCCACAATAGCATTATCATCTATTTTCTGTTTGTGGGGATGGAAAGTAACATTTCGTCATAGTGAGTGTGTTTCATTAACATAGTCTATCCTTTTTCGTGGAGAGATTTGGATTTACTGTTGCTTAAGTATCTTAAGGTGTTTACAGGAATTAATTAACAGAATGCTAGTGAAGTACGTAAAAGGAGTCATGTTGTTCAGAGAGTATCTGATTTAATCTGCACTAGATAGAATGAGTTACTTGAATAAATATGAATGGACTTGTGTGAACTGTCATCCAATCTTGATAGTTAAAGCTGTACAGAGAATTTAGACCTTATCCTTTGCATATTTTCATGTTGGAGATTCAAATCAACATCTTACCTGGCCAGATTAGCCCCATTTTAAGTAAATATATATTTGCCATTAGACTATTCTCTTTTGAAACAGGGTTTCTTTTTTCCACCTGGAGTCACACCCTGTCTGTAGGCGTTTCTTATGGGTGTAAGAGACACCCCTCATTTACGTCAAATCAGTCTAGCATTTCTTGACAAACCTGATGGAAGAATAACGCAGTAACTTCTGAAGGGTCAAGGACAGAACATTTTATTACTCACAGTTGGAAGGTTTTACCTCACTTTACCAAGAAGGAAAGAAGGATGTACAGTATGGGGAGGTGTAGCACATCTCTCAAATTCCTTTCACTGAGGTTGTGCTCCTGGCTCTCATGAGACACTTCTCTCACCTTTATTTGACTTTTTTAACTTTGGAAGGTTTTCTGCATCCTGCAAAAAAAAACCCAGAAAAATCTATCTTTGTTTTATAATTTAAAAAATGAGCTTCAGTTGCATGAGTAAGAAACGGCTTAGTTTTAAGAGTTTGGAACTCAGTGCAACAGCCTTAAACGAAGCTGCACAAATGGACTGTCAGCTGTGTTAATTATTCTTTCTTTAGCCATTGCTAGTACTACATTTGCATAATATAAGTATTTGGCATAAGATTATGTTAGCTTGTGTGGCTTTTACGTGTGGAATGCCAGGGCAAATAATTGCACAGCAATAACAGCAAGATATGCCATCAAACCCGTTTTCCCTCCTGAAATGTAGATGTGGTGCTCTTTGGTATATTTGGGGAGCTCAACAAACCATTGGCAAAAAATGTTATAATAGAGATATTAAGATAGGGAGTCCATATTAGTAGACTGTTCATGTGTGCAAATGAATCCATCTTTCTGGGCAGTAACCTACTGTATAGTTCAGATGTGTGATCCAGGGTTCATTGGCCTGTGGGCATTTTTTGTCTGTTTAAATGCTTCACAATAATGTTATAACTTGTTTTAAACTTCACTCTCTAGAATTTCCATCTTTATATACCAATGGGATCTTGCCTTCTGATTTATTTACAAAATTGTGAAGAAGTTTCTGGAAGTTAGCAGCATGTCTTGTAAGCAAAACAGGGGGACCACTTGTTTGTTCATCCAGTTAGGACTTGTAATGTTCAGGCAGGTGTACCAAATGCTTTGAAAATGTAGAATTTAAAGCAAGGTGTGGACATGGTATTAAAAATGTTTTTTTTAAGATAATTACATTTTGGATTAGACTATGTACATTTCGCAATGCTTCCATGTTTTAGAGTATTGTAGTTACGTCACAAGATGATATTAAGCTGTAAACGGTCCTTCCCTTAGGCAAACCAAGAATGAATTTATTAAAGCCCGACACTCCTTAGCAAATCAGATGAGTAAATCAAGTTCAAACATGCACGTTAAAATGGCAGTTTGGTGACCATCTGGAATCAAATGCCCTTTTATTTGGTTATCCTATGTTTTGTCATTTCTGTAATTCAGGAAATACAGAACAGTAAAGTATTAATTTTTCTTATTTAGATCACAGAAGGTTTTCAAAATGAGATCTGTACACAAAGCCTGTTTTCTGTTAAGAATTGTGAATTATAGGACTCCAAGTAGCTTTTATGAATTTATGGGTAAGTGCCCTGGGTATCCATTTGCTGAAGAAATTGCTGGATGCAACTTGACAGAAGTAAATCTACCTGTAGATTGTGGTTAGCTCCTGTAGGCGACAATGGCTTTTCAGTGATCAGGAAGCACATGGTACACAGAGGCATTCTGCATGAGAATGAAATCTGTCCAGTGACTGTTGACACTGAAGTGTCCATGCAGTTGTAGTGTAAGTTGCACTTGCAGGAGTTGGCAATCAGTAGTTTGCCTGTGCCTGTTGTAACAGACCCGAGAGCATGAACAAATCGACAGACAAGCTTGAGAAGTTATGGGAAGAGAATTTCTGCAGTATAGGCAGCAGCAGAGGGAGACTTCCCTGATGAGGAAGTAGTGCACTGATGGTATCCCTTGAATGAGGGCGGAATTTTATTTGTGTGGCTAGACCATGATGCCAACTGAGATGGGATGGCATCTGAGGGAGACCTCTATATCAGTAAGATGAAGAAGCAGCAAATCCAGAATGAGTCCCGCTAATGGCAAGAGCTCAGATTTGCTGAAATGGCCAGGGAAGTAGATCAGTGAGTTCATTAGGACACTAAAGAGAGATTGGGGTTAGTTTTTCCTGAGAGAGGTTCTCTTAAGAACAAGAGGTGGCCTACAAGTGACTGTCTGAGAGATATAGGGGAGTTGAATTGAGAAAGATTTTGGAACCCTGTCACAGTAGCTTGAAGGTGGGGTTATGTTGCAGTGAGAGGGGTTGTTTCCCCTCCTTTGCTCACAAAGAGCATGCTACTCTGTATTCTGCTTCTGAGCTACTGTAATTAGGTGAATGGGTAACTTACTTACTGGACTGTGCTCTCAAGCTGCTTAGTGGCAGAATTGGTTTGAGTGGGGAGCTGTGTCAGCATGCAAGCTTCAAAAGAATAAGTAGAGGATAATCCTCCCTGAAAAATGGAAATGAAGAAAGAGAGAGATATAGGGGATATACATTTTAGCTGACCTTGGGCTATAGTATAAAATGCAGTACTTATCTGTGCTGCTTTCTGCACAGTAGCGTTTAAGGGTACCTTATGAAGTCATTCCAAACAACAAAGTTCTCATATCTTTGAATTATCAAATTACAGTAATGAATCGGTGATATTTATATAGGGTGTGTTTTAGCTGTTAAAAATGAATGTACAGGTAACATACTGTATGAGTCAAATTATTGCTTTGTCATCTTGATCGAGATCTTAGGGGACATTTTATTAATCAGACTCCTGAACTTTATTTCTGGGTGTAGCAGGATTGCGTTAGAACAGTATTTGATCTCATTCTGTTAAATGTCATTGCGCAAGTCTGAAGTCTCATTTTAAATGTTCTCTTCTGTTATCATGTTGATGAAAATCCCAGAGGAGTTTTCCAATTTCACCATTTTTGTTAACATTTCTCTCCCACCCACACTTCATTTCATTAAAAAAACTTCTACTAGCTTGCCAACACACCCTTGAATATAATTAACTTCCCAAGGCTCTGAAGTTACACCCGCAAAGAGGAGAGACGAAACACTTGTAGTTCCAGATGAAACAATAGTGTGTTCCCTTGTTTCCATGGTAGAACCGGTTGAACAGCAACTTCAGTCAGGCTGTTGCTTGAGAAGTTTCATTTAACACATTCCTAGACTCGCCTTTCTCGGAGATAAGGAATACAAGGCATTGACTGAAGTTTTTTTTTTCCCCTCATTTGGTATAGCTCTGTATTTTCAGTACCTGTTTCGTTGATACCTGTGCTTCTATGTTTGCTTGTATTCTCACTGCAATTTAACTTCTAGACATGTTCAAGCCTAATTTAAATGCGTAGAACCTCTGGAGCTCTGGGTTAATTAATTTGTTTTTTTACTTAACATGGGAAGAGTAACCCTTGTGAATTCTGCTTTTTATTAATGTTTGAGTGGGAATCTGTGTGATCGACCTGCAAAGGCACATGCAGAAAGTAATTCCATGCTAAGAAGTGTAAAGAAAGAAGAAAATATTTAATTGTGAAGTCTTCAGCAACATGCAGAATAAGGGAGGAGGAAGCCGGAATATGAAGCACAGGGGTGGGTAATAAGGATCAAGGAAAACTCTGATCAGAGTGGTCTGGGGGGGAGAGAAACCCAAATAAAGGAAAACTGGAAGATGAATTTTGGGACAAGTGGGAAATGCCTAAATCTGTAAATGTATTGATGAGATTGAAAAAGAAATTAAGGAATTTTGTGAAGACGGAGCTTGGAAACATGTAATGTTCTTTTCTCAAGACATGAGAAAAAACACTTCTCTAACCTGGAGATCGGTGTTTCAGTTGCCAAGTGACCAGAACCGTACCTCCTGATTTCATTGGATCTCAAGACGATTCAAGTTTCTCCTTGAACTGTGGTAAAATTTCGTAAAGGGATGGGATTTGAATACAAATATGGAACATAGAAGAGATGGTCTGTTATATTTAAGAGTGTAAGAAGAGGAGTAGGTGTATGGAATGTATACTATCTACATAGTAGGTTGAGGAATGCTAGGAATTATCTTGGTTTCATCAGAATTTCCAAGGTAAAATGCTTTTTAGAAGACATGGCAATTAAGAAATATGCCACTTTTACCACATTAGAGGGACTGAAGGGCTTCCTCTCATTTGTAACTGTTTTTCTGTTCTTTTTAGCAGTCTGAGTTTCTGACCTTTTGTTAAATGACCAATCTAAACCTCAAAGTAAAAAGACTAGAGGATTTTGTTATGGAGATCTGTTTATCTTGATACCAAACAATCACATTTTGTGATTGTTTGGTATCAGGGCGCTTCTCGAAAAGAGTAGGGGTGTAACCCTGGTGTCCTGGCCAAATTTCCAATTGCCCCTTACTAATCATGGCCTCCTAATAATCCCCCTCTATGAATTGGCTACATTACTCTGCTCTCCTCCCCACTGATAGCTGATGTGTGGTGAGTGTTCTGGCGCACTATGGCTGCCGTCGCATCATCCAGGTGGATGCTGCACATTGGTGGTGGTGGAGGGGAGTCCCCATTACCTGTAAAGCGCTTTGAGTGGAGTGTCCAGAAAAGCGCTATATAAGTGTAAGCAATTATTATTATTATTATTATTATTTTGCTTGTTAGTGCCTCAGAGATTGGGTATCTCTGACGTTGGTCCTGGAGAGCCCCAGTCCGGTAGGTTTTGTAGGTCACAAATTCTAAAGATATGGAGCATTTCCATTGTGATCAACTAAACAGGTTATTTGTCAAATTAATTTAGAGATCACTGAGGACTAGAATCTAAATACTTTTCATCCCACAATTACAGCATTCTCATTATTTTAAATGGGTTATAGGTTCATTGCTCATCAATCAATACCTTACAGGTGTTGCCAATCTTTAGTAAAACAGGCATTTTCAGGCTCCTTTTCCAGATTGTAGATGCTTTTACATAACACTCTCATTATTTGTACTGCATTTTAAGATGCATATTCTGTTTTATACTCATTTCAGTTTTGCAGACTTCATATTTATGCAAATGCATCAGTTCTGCTCTTTGTAGACATGAATAGAATGCTTTGCATAACTTTTACTCTGCTCTGCATTAACAATGAGTGTGTGTGGGGAGTGGCTCTTGAGGATGCAGTACAGATGAGCAAAGAAATGTCCTGGGTTGTAACTTGATTGTGGTTCTGAAGGTATTTGTGTTTATATTACTTCAAGCAATGTTGTGATTTACAGCCAGTTTTGAAACTTCAACACAAATCTATAAAAGTGGAAACTGAAACTGAGCTTTTAAAAGTGAAAAACTTCATCTGTTCCTGGATTTTAGAGATTGCCATTTCCATTGTCAATGCAATAGATAACCCCCCTTCTCTTTGCTTAAAAAAAATCAATTTCTTCTTCAAGCTTGCTTTTTATGTGTAGCTGTGGATTAAAAATCATACTGTATTAACCTGGGGATGGTTTATGAAAAGTTGCAGTGGAATGCAGAAACATGATCGTGAAGTGTTTCTTTTGGTCCATCTTCCATAACCTATAGAATGCAAATTTCAAAAACAAAGACTGTTTCCGACAAAGAAAGGCCCAGCATCCTATTGTGTGATAAAGTGCATCTGTTTTTACTCTGTGTGCATGTATCTTGTTCCCTAGCCATAGACGTTCCTGATCCCTACAGTGTACTGGATACTGTTCTCAGAATATCTACCTGTTGAGGCAAAACAAGCAAAAATCTAACTTATGTTTGATAAAGACTAGTTAATATTTCTGTGGTGGAGCTGAGGACTGACGAGAAAAGGGACTAGCTCTGAGGAACACATCCCGGGGAAAAGGGAAGTGATTGTTTCCATATCCACTGGAAGCTGGGAGGAATCTTCAGAACTGTATTTAGTCAGGGCAGGGCTGTGATAACTAAGGTATATGTGTTATTTCTTTCCGGAGATGCCTGTCTGTCCAGAGACCGCACTTTCATCAGGGATTCTCATCTTTGGTCTTGGAGATTCACTCCTGTATTTATTTGTATTCCATATGGGCCCAGTTCAAGTTAATTAGATCCACTAAGGGTTCAAGAATGTAACAGTTTAAGTGCTCTCAGGTCCTAAACGTGTTGGAGGTTGTTTTCCAATTATTGTTCCATCGTTACCTAAATCTACAACTAAAAGGCGAAGAGACTCGTTCTCCTTGAAGACTTTCAGCATTTCTTCAAAGTAAACATGAAGGATTACAACATGGTTTATATTTAATGTATTATGCATTTGTAGTCTAAAATAATTATAAAACTGTCAGTTGGTTTCCATACCTATAACTGAAGTTAAGCTTTTGAATTCTTAACAGATCTTGTCCAGCATTGTAAGAGGTGCAGACTCCAGTGAAGATGGCATTTGAGTGGACATCAAGAGCTGTACTTCTTTATGACGAGTGGATCAAAGATGCTGGTGGGTTTCAAGTTTAAGGACTTCTATTTGTTTTTGTAGAGATGTAAGCCAGCAAAAACAGTGTAAGCTTTAAAAAATGTTTAATTGGCTTAGACTCTGATTTCATATGTTCACTCTCCAAATACGTTGAGCTGTTTATAGTAAAGATTGCATTCCATTTACATATTGTGAAAAACTGATCAATAAATAATGAAATGAAAGTCAGTTTCAGTTTGTTATGAGTGAATTTCAATGTTTATCCAAATACTGTGTAATTTGAAAATGTTTTTTTTAATCATGCTTCACATTTGTTCTGCCTCCTAAGGTCTACACACAAGTTTACCTTTCTAGAGCTTTTTTTGCATGCTTTCATAACAGTTGTTGACTAAGCCTCTGCTTTAAACCCATTAAGTTTTTTCTAATGTTTTTGTGTATGTGATGTCATTTAGACCCTAGGACAGAAGATTGGCCCCTCATGTCTTCTCCACTCCTTCAGACTCTCATTATTGGCATGTACATTTACTTTGTAACGTCTCTGGGCCCCAGGCTCATGGAAAACCGGAAACCTTTTGACCTCAAGCAGATCATGATTGCCTACAACTTCAGCATAGTTGTCTTCTCTGTATACATGTGTTATGAGGTAAGTATACGAACTGCCCCTTCAGGGTTGATAACTGTAATCTAGCTAAAGTTATTATTTTCTGTAGAAATACGTTTTACATGCTGTAAATATGCACAACAAAGGATGTAAAGGGGGTAGGAAAATCTGATCTATCCTACTGCTTATTAATGAAATTTTAATTTGACCACCGTGGTAAAGATCAATTTAGTTATGGTATGATACACTAAGTGGATACCAGTCTCTCAGTATGCTGTTTATGGGTCTTTAATAAATCACATTTTTTGTGAGCACATCATAGAATATCCTGGGTGTATATACATTCAATATATTACATTGACAGCATAAGATTAATATTATACTAAAGACCTCTTTCTAAACTGTTTTTAGGCTTTATAAAGTCACGGTGAAAAAGAGAATGTAATTTGTGATTTCCATCTGCAATTTAAAATGCATATAGACCTTAGCCACTCCTGGAATATTTTGGGTTCTTTCATTTTGTTGTGTATCACCTTGTTCATTCTACCACTGAAATTTAGTTTAACAGGCATCTTAGAATGTACTTCTTCCCTCCTTTTTTTCTTATCTGCATGAATATAATATTTCATATGACCCAAGCATCAATTTGTAACTTGTATTACAAATGTAGTACCTGGGGCTCTATTGTACGGCATACATACAATTTTGAGAAAAAGGGGGGTATCGAGGGTATTTTTTTGGGTGTGTTGTTCGTCATCATGAGAATGACATCTGAGAAATGAAAGGCTGACACCCAGTTCTGGTCTTGTTGCACTAGATTCCTACTGCATGACTAGTTTCAAATAGTAATACTTCTTGAAGTGAATTCTATTTGAATGTGCAAAAGCTGTCTCATTTGATTTAAAGGCTTTTTTTCCCCAATGATAGTATTGAGACTGATGTAGTGCAAATGCTTGTGCTTATGAACCAGATACTTTACTGGTTTTACATCACCAAAGAATACTTTTGCAAACTTCCATGGTCCAAATCCGCAAGTTAAAAAAAACCCTTATGCTTGGTGTCCAAATGTTGGCACAGTTTTTGATATTGCTCGACAGTTTCTTGTTCATTATACTTTAATTTTGTGCGCTGTGTAGATTTAGCCAAGCTTGATTTATTGGTTTTTAATTAGTCAACTTGGCCCACCAGATAACTCGGAACATGCAAGTGTATGGTTGTATTGGACTCGGTTCAAGTCCTTTTCACAAATAATAAAGATCAACCGTAGTAAATAAGTGGCAATTGATGTCAGGAGAGGATAGTCAGCTGTCTGATAGAATTTTGGGATTTAATGGTCATGAGCTTCATTTTAGGTTTTTAGTTTTGGAACACCTTTGTTAAAGATGGGGTCCAATTCAGATTCAGTTTTTTTTTATGTTCATAGAAATTAGTTTGTGGAGGGAATTGATATTGACCTTAATCCTGACTGCTTTTGTGATGAATCCATTTCAGTAGGGACACATCAGTAAGTTAGTTTTGCTAGCATTTGTTTGCTGAACAAAGAAATACAGAAATTCTAGCTTCAGTACTCAAGGCTTTACTGGTGGAAATGGACTCATTATCAATTTCCCCTTCACCACCGTCTTCTACTTTATTTCATGTGTATAGTTCCTAATGTCTGGCTGGGCTACAGGATACTCGTTCCGCTGCGACATTGTGGATTACTCAAGTTCACCCCAAGGCCTGAGGGTAAGCTTTCTTGAATTTATTTCTGCTCATTTCTAAACTTTTCCCTATTTTCTGCATATTTTACACAGTTTTTTCTTAAATATGAGTATACATGACGTTATAAAAAAACTTCTAGAATAATAAGAGCAAATCTCATCTGCTCCATCTGGATGATGGATTCTTTCCCAGGTTCTGTCCTTCAAGTGTCAGTTTATTACATGTTAGGGTTTCCTCAAATCATTTTCATTTTTTTAGAATTGAAAGATGGAAAAAACATGAATGGAATTTTCAGTTATGTACTTGTGAATCAAATTCATGGCTTAAGTATTAAGATGAATACTGTATTTACATGTAACTAGCTTGTACGTTAGCGCCACCCTGTGGTAGGCCCCTTTTAATTCAAGATATTTTCTTTCAGATGGCATGGACCTGCTGGCTTTACTACTTTTCCAAGTTCATTGAGATGTTAGATACAGTAAGTATCTGTAAGCATATGTTTTGAGATTGAATCAGCTAGAATAACATGAAATTTAGAGGACTATAACTGGATTTTATCCTATATCTGGATTTTATTCTGTACTACTTCTTCGTACTCTGAATGATGGAAACTAAGTTCTTGCAAACTGAAAGTGTGGTATTTTATCGTTTAATTGCATGATTATTGTATAATATATCTTAAAAAAGTACTATTACTGCAATGCAAAAAGGCAAAAGAATCCTAACTCACTGCTCTACTTGTTTCTGTTTTCATATGAATGTTTTTTGTTGCAGATCTTCTTTGTACTCCGGAAGAAGAACAGCCAAGTCACTTTCCTCCATGTCTATCATCACTCAATTATGCCCTTCACCTGGTGGTTTGGTGTCAAGTTTGCTCCAGGTAATCAATCTGCTTCTGTTTCTCATGGAAGAGTGAGTGTTGGGTTCTCTTGCTCTGTGTACCACATCTGTGAAAAGATAGCTAAAACAACTAAACAGGTTTTCAGGTTATCATGCATTACATACAGTACTATTGATTTCTATCAGTTGTGACTTCAAGTACGTTTGCCTATCATAAAATCATTTAAAATCAGGTTGTATAATGACCAACAGGAGGTGGAAATAAAGACATAATAAAAATCAGGAGGGAAGTGGGTAGAAATGTGTTATAAAGTTCTTTTTGAAATGCCAAGATGGTGTTTTTTTTGTTGGAATAATAAAACTGCAAAGTCTTATGTAAGCCTGATTCTACTAAGTGATGCATGCAGCTTCAGTAAACCTGCCTGGCAATTAGTTATAGTATATTTAAAACGGATATCCAAGAGCATTTTTTTTACTGCTGTTTAATATTATTTTCACAGGTGGACTGGGAACATTTCATGCACTTGTGAACTGCATTGTTCATGTAATAATGTACACATACTATGGTCTGTCTGCAATGGGACCAGCATACCAGAAATACTTGTGGTGGAAAAAATACATGACCACAATTCAGCTGGTAAGTATACTATTTCAAAAGCAGGCTTGCTGTTAATTAGTTTCTACTTCAATGGAGATATTCCTTGCATACATTAATTGGTAAATATATTTCCAAGCCGTGTTCCTCCTATGCTGTGGCCCATTGCTTTTTTTACTTTACGCACCTCAAGGATGAGTCAGACAGAAGCTGAATGTTTAGTTTTGCAGATATGGCACAAAAGCAGACTTTTGGCCTTTTTTACCATGCGTTAATAAAAGTAATGTATATTTAATTTCCACAGTACAATGCTTTCATTTGATATCTTCAATTTTTTTTTTTTACATTCAGTACATGGCTACTTTTTAACTTATTTGGATGGGGTATATTAACTGAAATGCCCTGGCTAAATTCCACAGTGGGCCTGTACAGTTTGTCCTTCAGAAAGTTTCCATTTTCATTCAATTGTAGAAGTTGTTCCTGAACTACTGTTAGGTGTGGCTGCTGGTATGTTATGACTGCTACACATCACCTGAGGCTTTGAGATGAAAATGCAATATAAAGATGAGCAATTGTATATTTTAGTAATGTGTTTGTTTGTTTTTTTTGTTGCAGGTCCAGTTTGTGACGGTCACAGTCCATATTGGGCAGTTCTTTTTCATGAAAGATTGCCCTTACCAGTTTCCTGTTTTCCTTTACATTATATGCCTCTATGGGTTAGTCTTTTTAGTGCTGTTTCTTAACTTCTGGTACTATGCTTACACCAAAGGCTATCGACTTCCAAAAGCCATAAATAACAATGTGCGTGAAAAGAAAGGGCAGTAAAGACTTTGACCACCAACCAATTCTTTATGCTGTAGACAATCTCCAAAGCAATATGTAATGAGCAGTACTGTGCATTTTTATACCTTTCATGAAGTATTTGATTATAGATTTTTATATCTTGAAAATTTTGAACAATTGCCAGTTACCAAAGTAAAGAACCAAGATTTTTTTCCATTTTATTTTAAATAGGAAACTATAGATGAGTTTTGAATGGAGTTCTCACCTTTTTTTCCAGTTTCATTAAATGGTCAAGGCAATAGCAGCTACTGTAAACGCCTGAACCTCACAGACTTAAGTTTGTTCACACTACAGGGTTCTTACTGAGATGTGTTTTCTAAGTAATATGTATGTTTCTGGGGTAATGGCTGGAACTGCCGGCTTCCTCTTCTTTAGCATTTTTATATTAAAACAAATCTGTAAATTGTAAACTTTGTGAATAGGGTAGCTTCATTGAGTAAATTAAAGCAAGCATTAACGTTAGCCTGTGAAACTTGAAATTGCTTTGTACTTCACTGATAGTCTGAATGGGCATAGAAATGTTCTCCTGGAAATTTGCCTCATGGAGATTGGAAAGCCAAGAGTGAAAGGGGTTTTATTCCCCATTTTCCAGAGAACAGTGATAGTGGCATTGCACAGATTTCACTTTTTGAAGTCCTTTCTGTGATGAAGTTATGACTAGACACCACTGTACTCTGAACTTCTTCACACAGCAAATCTGATCATTCAACTGTGCTTGCGGATTAATTTATGCAAAATAATGCTACTCAAAACGTTAAAGGAAAAGCGTTACTGAATAAGATCAGGTTCTCATTCATTGCTTTTTTTGGTGGCTAATCAAACAAGACCTATTTTACTCAGTTGTTTTGCATTGATCCATAAGTAGACAAGCATGTAATTTAATGGTTTTGTTCTTGCAGGAACCAGGCATGAATTTAAGTCTTTTACTCTAGTCATGCACACATGGTGAATGAGGGCAAGGAAATAATACTGTCAACATGTTTTGGCAGATTCCATGCATAGTCTTTAACACACATGAAACTATTTTCAGATTTGTTGGTCAGTGCATCATCATGGACCTTAATGTATCTTTACTTGCCAATGTCAGTGTAGTCATGAATGTCTTTTGCTGTAGACATGATACCACCTTTAATATTGTAAAAAATAGGTTTATTTTTTGTATGTATATTTATGTGCCAAAATAAATGATTTAAAATATTGGTTTTGTTGCTGTGTGTTTTGTGAATTATTCCTTGTGGTACTTCTAAACAAATCACTCAAGTTTGGTACCTGTAACTTTTTTCGTTGTCTAGTTGTATAAACAGTTGCTTAATTTAGTATAACATTCAATTCAACTTTTTGTCATTATACTTGCACAGGTGCATAGTATAATGAAAAGTGTTCCTCATTAGTCTCTCAGGTGCAGTATACTGTATATGTGGTGTAAACAACAGTATGACCACAGTGCGACAGTACCCATATCTGTTAAAAACTGCAAAAGTACACAGAGCAAACAGTACAAAATAATACGGCACTTATCAAATAGTACAACTACAATCAAGTACAGTTTTAAGCTCGTTAGGCTTACATTCAATTGTCGGGTGTATGGTGGTGTAGGAGTACAGTCATGGGTATAGGAAGTGAGGAGAGATCATAGTTGAGTGGGTGGGTCACCGGCTTGACGGCTCTGGGGAAGAAGCTATTTTGGAGTCTTGTGTGCGACTGGAACATCAGAACCTACCAGATGGTGGGGGGACAAACAAGTTCTGACTGGGGTGAGTGGGGATAGTCATCATTTTGGTGGCTTTTTTCAGACACCTGGTGTTGTAGATTTTCTGCAGGGCCTTGCGGTTGGATGTGGTGAAATTGCCGTACCAGACTGTGATGCACCTGGTCAGTATGCTCTCCGTTGTACATCTGTAGAAGTTGGTGAGGATCCATGAATGCAGGTGTATTTTCTTCAGCCTCCTCAGAAAGTGCTGCCGCTGTTGTGCCTTCTTGAGACTAGAGGTGTCGAGTGCCCATGTGAGGTCCTATCTGATGTGAACACCTAGGAATTTGAAGTTATTCACCATCTCCACCGCACTCCCTTCGATATAGATAGGGGAGTGGACTTTTCCTTATCTCCAGAAGTCAACGATCAGCTCTTTGGTTTTGCTGATGTTAAGACATAGGTTTTTGATTCTGCACCAATCTGCTAGTTGTTTTATCTCCTAGGCAGTCTTATCGTTGTCAGTGATCAGGCCCACGACTGGTATCGTCCGCATACTTGATGATGGTGTTTTTGCTGAACTTGGCAGTAAAGTTGTGGGTGAACAGGGAGTTCTGAACAATGTTTACTACAATAAGGTTTCATGTCTTGTTTCTCAATTATATAATCTATTAGTATTTGTTTAAAAAAATCTGGTGTTCTAAGTCTTGCAGCTTAAAACTCAAATTGTATATGGCCAATAAAGTGATCTCTTATTAATTTAGGGAGCCTCTTAAAGTTATGCCCACATGTACAAGGTGGGACAGGTCTGCAAGTCTCAATATGGGAATGTTATTCATCTCTTATTTTACCTTTTAAATTGAATGGACACAAATAGTTGAGCTCAACCTCTACAGAAAAGTAAAAAATGCAGAAAGCACAAAATACGAAGGCATACAGGCAGAAAAATCTCAACTGCTATCTGCTTATGACTTGTACTTTCCAGTTCAGAGCGTTTCAAAACTCGGTAGACTACGGTTTATCACTTTTACAGAGATTACATAGTCTAATTACTCTATTAGTAGATGTTAATGACTAAGCAATTAATTCCAGTAAATACCAGTAAATTTTCTTTAGAAATCAGCTGTAGTTCCTCTAGGGTTAGAGCATGTGCTAATGCGCAAGGGGGGTCTCACAGGTGGTGAGACAAGAGGATACGCTACAAAGAAATCAAAAACTGGGATTCGTAGCCCGTGGCTTTTAAACTGTTCGGAGAATTAAGAGCTACAACATAGGAGTATTAACAAAACAAAAAAGCAGAAGGTTCTAACGACTTAACATGCAGGTACTTGAGTAAAAAAACGTAAAACACTGCCGTCATGCGACAAGACACAGATAACGTACAGAGTAAATTGCACTGGACACCAATCCATTTTCAGATTTAATATACAGTGCCCCTGAACACACACCCTCTCTCGATTCTCCGCAGTAAAACTTCCCCTTTAATGAACCAGGAACAAGGCCTTTCCACTGACCACATATGGGCGCAGACTTGATCACGTGCCCAAAAGCCAGTGTCCAATCGCAGCGCTCGGTTGCCTGTTCCCAGATTCAAAGTTTGTTGTACACTGAATATAAGCGTGTCTAATTTATCGCGTAAAATGCTTAAATTATTATAGATTTAATTTGGACACAAACTTGGATAACGTTTGTATGGAGGAGAAAATGATCGGCCCAGGCCCTTACAGGGCAACAAAGCTGGTAAGTCAAGTTGGGTGTTTGGCAGGGTCAGGGACGCTGAAAGGTTAGGAGCTTTTTCTGTGTGAAAGCATGCGAGTAAAATCGCACCCAGAATGCAGCACCCCTTTACTTTTAACAGTTCAGTCCCTGAGGTTGTAAACTGTGCATGATGTTTTTTCTTGCTGTTTTGTTTAGTTGAGAATCACATGGACGTAAAGGAAGAAATGCTGATATTACCAGTGGCTCTTAAAGCTAGATTTTTGCATGAACCAATTAAAATTCGTCGACGTTTTCAGTTACCCAAGAACAAAATTTATTTCTTGTTTTTTTTTGCTAAGACATGGATTGTTTATAACTCCTTATATCATAAGTCTCATAACTTTCTAAATCGAATCACTTTTACAGGACTTGTTTTTATTGCGATTAATATTAGCATAGGGTAGTGAACGTATGAATTAAAACTAAAGAGCAAAATATTCATGTTAACTAAATGCGCTATCGTATGTTATTAAGAAGAATAACAAGAACAAACAAGAATCTAAAAATTTAACGTTAATAGGGCACTGAACTTGGAGTTGGTTTATGTTGTAATACAGTACACCAGTAATACCAAGAAGCTGTCAAACCAGCCCTCCCAAAACTGAAAAAAGTCTGAAAATAATTATAAGGGTTTTTAAGCAGATCTTCATGTTACACAGTATTTTTTGGATGTTCAATTAATTGAAATTTGCACATAGTTTCGAATAAGCTTAATCATGAATATTATGAACATCCTTTATTATGCATTATTTCTTGCAGAATGTATTATTAGCAGTATTCAAACAATCCAATATTACAGTGCATAAAATCCATAGTGCCAGTAGCCATATCACCCTGCAGCTCGCAACTGGCAACCCACTGAAGCTAAGCAGGCGAGAGTCTGGCCAGTACCTGGATGGGATTCCTCCTGGGAAAAACTAAGATTTCTGTTGGAAGAGGTGTTGGTGGGGCCAGTAGGTGGTGCTCACCCTGCGGTCTATGTGGGTCCTAATGCCCCAGTATAGTGACGGGGACACTATACTGTAAAAAGTCACTGTCCTTCAAATGAGACAAAACGGGTCCTGACTCTCTGTGGTCAATAAAAATCCCAGGGGTGTTTCTTGAAAAGAGTAGGGGTGTAACTCTGGCGTCCTGGCCAAATTTCCCATTGGCCCTTACCTCCTAATAATTCCCATTTATGAATTGTCTTCATTACTCTGCTCTCCTCCCCACTGATAGCTGATGTGTGGTGAGCGTTCTGGCGCACTATGGCTGCTGTAGCATCATCCAGATGCTGCACATTGGTGGTGGAGGGGAGTCCCCATTACCTGTAAAACGCTTTGAGAGGAGTGTCCAGAAAAGTGCTATATAAGTGTAAGCTATAATTATAGTCAAAACTGTAATCCCTCTGTATGTGTGTCTACACCTGTGAGCTTAAATCCCACAAAGTTAAAACTATGCTAAAGTTTATCAAACAGTTTTTAGAGAAAGACAATGTGTGTGTGTGTCTTTTAATTTCCATTGTCCTAAGCTGTCAACCACTCCTATGAAACTTTAATCTTTGTAATGAAGGGTGTAGTCTAACATAAGGCTATTGACAGCTCCCGAACTTGAGCTAAATGAGGTGAGAGAGAGACATGAAACAGGCACAAACCAGTTAACTTCTCGATCAAGAACTGGTTCTGTTATGTGAATAGGAAATAGATTTATAGAGGAGAGCATCTAAAAGAAAATTAAATGCTTGGAAGTCCACGGCTAATCATTTCCTGATGTCACTGAATACTTCATATTGCCTCTGATCATGTGTGGGATAAAATTACAAAATAGAGAGGTTATCAAATCAGTATGAAAATTAGTTTCTGATGGCAGATGGCTATGTAAGCAAATTCTAAAGATTAATTTCAGCCTCTAAAGTTACAGATTACCATGTGGTACACAGCACATGTTCTTTATTGTTCATCATATCTTGGTAATAGAGTAATCATCAAGCTTAGATAAATGTTAACAGTAAAAACAACAATAAAACAAACGATGTTACACCATGCACAGATATTTACAGTTATGTGAGTTTCAGAGCCTTTTAAACACATCATAAAGTCAAACATTCTTCTGTTATAATCTAAATGCAACAAAGCCTTAACAGAACCCGTGTCCTGATAAAATGGATCTTATTCAGGACTAAATCTCTAACAAATGCTGACCGATAGGAACTAATTTCTGTGTTCTTAACAAAGACATTCCTAGAATAACTGGTTTCAAGTCAAAATTTAAACAAATGCTTTCACAGCAGAAGCATGTGATGAAGCTGAAGATAACTGTCTTTCTTTCTGTTTGTCTTTAATTCCTATTTGTCTCTTCTCATATTTATGCTGTGGGCCATTACTATGGCGGATTGTTAGGCTTTACCTTACTAGGAATGTCCCAGTTGCTGTAGAAACTGTATGATTTAATATGTCCGTGTTAGTTATCCATCAGTGATATTGTTAAACTTGAGTTAATTACAATTCCTTAAAGCTAATGAACTCCCCAGTTGCCCTCCACCCTCCTCCAGTCACAACAATTGTATTAGAAAAATTTAAACAGCTTCTTTGAGATGCATTGCTTGACTGCCTTTGCCAAGATAAAGCATCAGAAATGCTTTGAAGGGAAATCGGACCATAACACGACAAAAGATGATTAATCAACATTTTCTCATTTGAAATCTTGCAGTGGAATGAAACTATTAAGCTTTTCCGTGCTGGAATGCCTCTGAGGAGGCACAGGATGCATTTCAGAAGCTATGACAGCTGCTTCACTGCGTCGGAGGCTGCAGACTGGCTGCACGAGCTTCTTAGGAGCAACAACAACTTTGGGCCCGAGGTGACGCGGACTCAGACGATACAGCTGCTGAAGAAGTTCCTGAAAAACCATGTTATTCAGGACATAAAGGGGAGGTGGGGCACAGAAGATTTTGAGGACAATGGGCAACTGTACAGGTATGCAGAATGTTTACATGGAAATATATTAATGTGCTAGTATCGTTTTGTGCTGTTGGTTTGTATATATAGTAAACGTACGTTTTTTTGAGGAGGTTTTTTCTCCTTTTCACTCAGAAAAGCTAATAAAAATGGATTGTAGATGTATGTGAAGTAACTGAAGGATATGTTGTACTAAAAACATCATTTTCTGCATTTCATGTTATTTTCTATTAAAACATAGAAGTAAGGCAGATTTGATTAACTATTTATTCTGTGTTCTCACAGAATTTTTGGTATTAAGTTATCCTGAAATTGCTCTAAAAATTCACATCTATTAGACCATCATTTTGTTAAAGCTGATATCTGAACTTCTTTCAAAGAAAAGTCTGAAAAAGATCCTCAAAATCATGAACTATTAGCGACCAAACAAACAGAATGGCCTTTCATTTGTAACCTTTGTGTTTTATGTAGGCTGGATATTTATTATTTAAAAAATGACCTACAGCAGTAAATATGCTAATCGAAGCCTTAACTGAACTGACAAGTTGCTTGATTGGTATACTTGGAGTTTTCTCCCTTGGAAGCTTGGGATTTTATTGTACTTATCAAATGAAATAGTGGCAGTCTCCAACATGTTTGAGATGGGGGAGTCAAACAATTCAAATTAATCCTATTATTAAATCAGATAAAGGTTCAGTTGTGTACCTGAGAGCTTGGCTGGGACAACTAGCAGGACCAGGATTGGGAAGCCTGGGCCTATGCTCTGCTTTTGAAGTGGTTAAACGAACATACTTAAAATATTTGATATTTGTAGGAATTTATCATTGTCACATTAAATGACATTGGGTATTGTTTCTATGGTTTAATGTGCCATGGCATGGCTTATCGAACAAATAAGATGCTTCCTAATGTAGTACTGTGAGAGTTTTAATTTCCTGTAACAATTGGAAATTAGAACAGTAAATTGCAAGAGTACTTTGACCCAAAGATCTGTTGGCGAAGAGTTCTTGGTGAGTTTAAACTTCCTACTGAGAAGATTGGCTGGGTTGCTATGCTGTCCTCCTTAGCAGCTGCTTGCTATGTGCTGGGAGTGTCCTATGTGCAGAGAGAAAAGAAAGTAAGAAGGGAGAGCTTTTTCAAGTGTTCCTCAGGGCAGCTCTGCTGGAAGTTGGTGTCTTGTTGAACTCCGGTCTCTGCACAATTGCCTACTTGGGGTCTGCAAGTTATACAGGTGGAAGAACTCGGTTCGTCCTGGTTATCACTTGTTACTGAATATGCTTGCATATGCAGGATGTTGACATAAAATAATCCAACTCTTATTCCATTGATATCAGTCCAGCTGTCTTCTTCTGTTAATAAGTAGAAATATCAGGTCAGTAATATCGTGGGCAGAATTCTAGACTTTGTGCTCACTCTCCTGACCCACTGTCTTGGAGAAACATCCTTCCACAGACTGCTTGCAGTCACTTGGATGAGAATCTGAGTTGCCATGTTAGTTTGAGAGTGATGAGGTGCCGGATTTAAGGTGTGACATGAGAGCTGGTGATTGTTTAGGGATGTTATCAGGTATAGTCATGGTATATGGTACCCAGCCTGCAGGTCCCTCATTGGTGGATTGTTCTTTGGGTGATGAACAGTGACATTGGAGCTGTGGTCTTGGGGAGAAATGCCCTATAGACACACTGGAGCCCATCTGCATTATATATCATTAGATGGTACAACTTAATGACCTTTCTTATCAGAGGGGCCTCTTAGCTACATTCCTCAGCATTTTCAGAGAAGCCCCAGCTGCCTTGTTAAGGCACAGAAAGATTGTTATAAATCTTTATTAAGACTTAGTTCTAACCTTGCCGCTACACTAATTTTCTGTTTTCACTAACTCACTGGGCTATTTATCACTGGATTTATTTAAAGCTGGGTTTTTTTGAGAGTGTGACCGTTTTTTGGGGTTAAAAATTTGCGCATCCCCCCCCCCACACATATATTTAAAAAAGAACCATGCACAATCAATGCAAATAGCACCAAAAATTATATAAGAAAAATCGAGTAAAAGCAAGAGTACAAGAGTAAAAAAATAAGTTTTGAGCTACTGTTTAAAAATATCCACAGAGCCAGCCTCTCTAATTTTTAGGAATACTATTCCACCGTTTAAATGCATAGTAGCAAATGGCTACCTCTCCAGTCATCCTATGCTTAATTTTTGGAATAATCTTTAAAAGTCATGCGCTTGTTGCACTGGCCTTGATGGATGAAGCTGTTCGTACTGTAAATTCCATCACTTGTTTGAGTTCGGGGGCATTTTCTTAGCCACAAGGGCTTGTCTATGAATTATATAATGTGTCCACAAAGCGGACGGAGCAACGGCCTGTACTTACTTGAGTAGCCCACTGTGTTTGCCAGTCATAGTTCGTGCAACGTCTGAGCAGATTTCCACACACTGGTTCCAGTCAATTTCATGCTCACGTACAGATGTGTCCAGCTAAAACAAAAAGTTGATCACTAGTGGCATGCTCGGGAAGAGGACGACGGAACAAAATATTCCTCATTCATTTCTCCTTCTTCAACAAATCTGGTGTAAACGAGCATTTGTGCATCTCTGGAGACATTCATGGTCTCGTCAAGTTGTAAAGAAAAGTGCACACAAGATTTTTAACTTAGCGATCACCTGCTCTTCCACGCCATACGCCCAATGCGGTTAGACACGGCATCATTTGACACTGGTATCAATGCTAGCTGCTCTGCAGCACTTTTCCCATACATGATTGGAACCATTTCCTAAGCGCGCGATAAAAAAGTCTCGCCTAACATGTGTGGCTTCCCAGTTTTGGCTATCCAGTTAGCTATGACAAAAGACAACTGAAATGCCTTCTGGTTCACAGTGGTGGCTTTTTGGAGGGTAAATTGGCCTCTTAGCTTAGGTAGCTTTTGTTCAAAAGAACTCGTGATTTTCTAATTTTCTGCGTTTTTTTTTGTTCGGCGTTTCTGCTGTTTCTCCACATTATCTTTAGCTCTCACTCTTCCAGTGCCACCTATTAAAAACACTCCATTGCTTGGTTAATCGCAACTACCTTGCGCAAAAGTAAAAAAGTGCTACAAATATAAATGCAATCGTGGCCCACCCAATAGAAATTTAATGTAGCGCCCTCGCCGGGGTTACCGCAGAGCAGGCTGGGAGTTTTAGCCAGGGGATGGTCTGTCTGCTTGCAGAGTGACCACTAGGTCACCCTGCTAATGTAAATAGTCTCAACCGTGCAGTTATATCTAATAGTTTATTGTCCTTTGATGTGTTACCACCCTGTAGGTGCGTACATGTCCCGTTTATCGCCCTAGTGTGTGGGTTAACCTTTGGTTGATTCTGTCTCTGTTGCCTATTGCTAGACATGGGGGTTGTGACATTTCATGTTGTATTGTTCTTATTGTAACATGCTTGTCTGCAAGGTGTCTTTTCAAGACACACCCAAAAACCAGCAGTCTGAGTTTTGAATTTTCATTTCAGATTTCCTCCATCATCGCCTTTGAAGCCATTACCAAAACATCCTCAGAATACTGAAAGTACTTCAATTCCCAGATTTCCAAACTGGGACGATTATGAGCAAAGAGACATGCAGGAAAATGTGCCAGTGAAGCCAATTATTGTGGTATGTGTTGTGGGAAAATTTAAAATAAATCCTTTTATACTTCTCATAAATCATTATTTTTAGAGATGGGGAATTAAAAAATCTCATATGATAAGGTTGTATACCTGCTTGTTGAAGCTTTGGTTTAATGTTGTTGTTTTTTTAATGCACAATTAAACGTTGCAGGATTCTGCTGCATCAACTTACAGGAGGCATTGAGTTATTCCTAATAATAACACATTTACACAATCTTTGACTGCTGAATGAAAGATGAAGAGCAATAGAGTTTGGTTTGTTACAATCTGTCAGTGTAGCCCAAAGAATTTAAGGGCAAGTGTTTAAAATGGCTTTGATAAATCGGGACTATTGTATAATACCATGGTCAGTCTATTAGCCATAAAACACTGGCGAATTTCTCTACCACAGTATTGATGCAAACATTTTTCTTACATAAAACTGCTCTGACGTTCTTGTTTTAGAATTCTGAAATGTGGAATAAGAGACATAGCATTGCCATTGGAGAGGTACATGAGTGCAAGCTTATACGAAGGAGAGAAATAACGCCAAGACATGTTGAACAGATCTGGAAATCCATGACTCTAGCACAGTATGTACATTTATTCTGAGCTGTTTACTCCTCAGCCATCACAACATTATCTACAATGAAAATCAACATATTTGGATGTGGGCCCAATTTATAAAGCACTTTCCCCAGTTCTATTGTTTAATGAAAGAAGGTAAATTATTTGGATTCATCAGAATATTGGAAGGGAAGCTCTGGGCAGAAACTTGTATAACCAAGGGTTCACATGTTGTACCTTTCAAATATATTCATACACTTAGCAGACTAACTTAGTTGATTTAACATGAAAATCAAGGTATACATGGGTCATTTTTTCAATGCAAGTCTAAAATCTTGATGACCTTCACTATTGCATATGCAAATAAAACATCTGTCTGAAGTAACTACATATGCAGTAGTTCATATGATGATCATGCTTTGTTTGTCAGTTCTTCCTGTAGCCTTTTAATGGATTTTTAAACTTCTCATGAGGGATATATACATCACTCCTATATCCAGAACATCTCCACCTCCTTAAGCCTGTATGTGTGATCTCCTTTTCTCTGCTCATATCATGGGTTTAATAATACTGTGATAAGTAAGAAATCCTTCTCTAGATAGTCCTTAGATAAGGTTTTTTGTTTCCTACACATTTTCATTTACATAGCCTGATGTTTACATCCATAACACGGATTGTTTTACGATTTCTCTTATTTGTTCTTGTGATTTGTCATTTGCAGTACAGCTTGAATTTACAATCCATTACAGGTTTGTAATGTAAAATACAGGGGATTTATGAAAGTGGTCTGTCCTTACTAAACCTTCATTTTTATTTTTTATTTTATTTTTTATCTTCAACAGCTTACAAAGAGTACTGGGCCTGAAATCCTTAGATGGAGTTCTAGATGCAAAACATCTCAATCCAAAGTATATAGTTCACAATGTGTACAATATTAACAAGCAGGGAGTGGTGGTACTTGAAGACAAATCTCGTAAGTTTCCATTCCAACAATTGATGTTTAAAATAAATTCTCCCAAGCATGGCAGAATTAATCAAGAACTATGTTTTAGATTTGTCTGTAATAGTCATTATATTAAAAGTCAGACTGTTTGTTTTTATTTTTAGGGAGAACACATAAACAAGATGTTACATAAATAATTAACTTTTTCTCTTATCATCCTTTCCTGTCTTCCACACCAGTATAATTTCTTCTGCTTTCAGCCCAGGTGCAAATAACACTGCTGCTTCATAAAAATATTTAGAAAAAAACTGGCCGAGGAGAAAATCAATCTGTTCATGTGAATGAACGTCCCCAAGCTGATTGTGTTTGCTGTGTAAATTTTGGGTTTGTGTTGTCATTGCATTGTTTTGTTAGAGATCTCACAAGTTTTTTTTGGAACACAAAAAGTAGTATTTAACTAAATGAAGGTATTAAAATTAAATCTGTGGATCAAAAATGCAATGCTACTTCTGTGGAGGGGGAAATCTTAATTTGAAAAAATTAATACCTCATGTCTTTGTATATTAAACATTGTTTTTTCTTTGTTTCTTGTCAAAACAGAGGAACTTCCTCACTGGGTTCTATCTGCCATGAAATGTTTAGCAAGCTGTGAGTATCCAGTGTGAATAACTATAATTTCAGTGAATCTTTCAGCCCTATTGAATCTTTATTTTCATTAGTCCTTCAACCTACATTACATTTTTAAGGATCTGCAGAAATGTTTGTTTTTTTCATGACATTATTTAGGGATTTATTTTTCAACCATTTATACTAGGGAAAAAATGTATGCGCAGGATAGTAGAACGAGATAATGTATTGTTTTCTAATGCATTTCACTGTGCCAATTAATTTAAACATGCTGGCGTTGGTCATTATCTATAATGTTGTGTGGTGTATGTGAAACAATTTAAAAATGGTATAATTTCCCTTCCCCCTCAGGGCCAAACGGCAGTGAGCTGAGGCAACCGATGTATCCTGGCTTTGAAAGAGACGTCTTTAGAACAGTTGCAGACTACTTTCAGAAACTGAAAGAACCTCTGCTAACGTTTCAGCTGTATGAAATGTTTGTCAATATCCTGGGTGAGTGCTCACTACAGGTGACTCCTCTGACTGTCAACCTGGTGCTTTGCTTGACTTTAGTTGTTCAACTTTGACTTGAGTTGTAATAAATATAAATTATCTGTTGACACTTCGTAAATATGTGCACATACAGTAGTCTGAAAAAGTGTTTGCCCCCTTCCTGATTTCTTATTTTGTTGCATGTTTGTCACACTGAAATGTTTCAGATCATCAAACAAATTGAAATATTAGACAAAGATAACACAAGTAAACACAAAATGCAGTTTTCAAAAATGAAGGTTTTTATTAAGGGAAAAAAAATCCAAACCTACATGGCCCTGTGTGGAAAAAGTGATTGCTCCCATGTTTAAACATAAATCAACTGTGGTTTCTAAGGCTTTGGGACTCCAGCGAACCACAGTGAGAGCCATTATCTACAAATGGCGAAAACATGGAACAGTGGTGAACCTTACCAGGAGTGGCCGGCTGACCAAAATTACCCCATGACTTCACCATAAGAAAGAGGCTGGGCAAAAATGGCCTGCATGGCAGAGTTCCAAGACGAAAACCACTGCTGAGCAAAAAGAACATAAAGGCTCGTCTCAGTTTTGCCAGAAAACATCTTGATGATCCCCAAGACTTTTGGGAAAATACTCTGTGGACTGACGAGACAAAAGTTGAACTTTTTGGAAGGTGTGTCCCATTACATCTGGCGTAAAAGTAACACAGCATTTCAGAAAAGGAACATCATACCAACAGTAAAATATGGTGGTGGTAGTGTGATGGTCTGGGGCTGTTTTGCTGCTTCAGGACCTGGAAGACTTGCTGTGGTAAATGGAACCATGAATTCTGCTGTCTACCAAAAAATCCTGAAGGAGAATGTCCGGCCATCTGTTTGTGACCTCAAGCTGAAGCGCACTTGGGTTCTGCAGCAGGACAATGATCCAAAACACACCAGCAAGTCCACCTCTGAATGGCTTAAGAAAAACAAAATGAAGACTTTGGAGTGGCCTAGTCAAAGTCCTGACCTGAATCCGATTGAGATATTGTGGCATGACCTTAAAGTGGTTAAGGCTCGAAAACCCTCCAATGTGGCTGAATTACAACAATTTTGCAAAGATGAGTGGGCCAAAATTCCTCCACAGCGCTGTAAAAGACTCACTGCCAGTTATCGCAAACGCTTGATTGCAGTTGTTGCTGCTAAGGGTGGCCCAACCAGTTATTAGGTTTAGGGGGCAATCACTTTTTCACACAGGGCCCATGTAGGTTTGGATTTTTTTCCCCTTAATAATAAAAACCTTCATTTAAAAATTGCATTTTGTGTCTACTTGTGTTATCTTTGTCTAATATTTCAATTTGTTTGATGATCTGAAACATTTCAGTGTGACAAACATGCAAAAAAATAAGAAATCGGGAAGGGGGCAAACACTTTTTCACACCACTGTATACTAATGTGTGAATACAGGGCTTTGGCCACACATGTTTGAGATGAGAAAACTGGGCAGTGTGTTTTTCAGCACTTACATCACCCAATCACCTATATATTCAATTATTTCAGTCCTCATTGACCCAACCATGAAAGGCATTTCTGTGTGATTTATGACATTAACACTCATGTTTGTTGACTTTAAGTCTTTCAGGCTTATAGTTTACTTCAGGGGGAAATTTGCTCACAATAATGCTTTCATTCAGTATACAGTAGTGTCAACATTTGGAAGTGCCATACAATTCCTCCCTTTTCACTCCTCTAAATTCTTCATGTAAGGTACTATAGACATTGGTGAGGATGTTGTCAAAGTACATTTTGGGGTACATTTGTATTAATGAATTTGATTTCTCTTAATACATCTCATATTTTCCTGATTACTGTGAAGGTTAGAAATATGCACAGACTTGTATCACCTTGTGGCTTTTTTATTCACCCTGATCCCTGGATTGCTAATGTCTTCACACTCTGCAACAGCTGACTGGCTCCTGTTTAAAATGTAGCACAGGCATTGATGAGGAAGTCATGCTGTAATTGTAACAGCTGTCAAATATCACCCCATACCAGAAAAGAAGTCTGGGGTGGGATGAAATTTTGCCAGATGCGTTTTGCCCATGATTGATAGGTTTGATGTTGCACTTTAAATTAATCTTAATTAGTTCAAAACAAAATTGTCCAGAGAAACTGTCACATGTAGGCAATCAAAATGCAAGAATGCCTAATTAGTTGAGGCAGTTATGTTTAAATTATTAGTGAGTCTAGGCATTAGAATGGAAAACAATACTGTTATTTCCCAAGCTTCTTTTGTATATAGAGTATCCAAACATTTGAATTATCCTGTAGTCTTCTGCAAATACTGTTTTCACCCAGTTTAATCAATTTCATAATCCCAGTCGTAACTAAAATGTACATTAACACAGTCAAAGGTATGTAATCTCATTTGCTAAAAATCTTTATGCAAAATTTAAAGCAGAACTGCTTGTATACATGCTCTTATATTTGTGTCACTGTAATCTCATTTTAAATGAGTCTCTTTTCCCTTTAATTACTGAAGTGAAATGTGGCTGAAACGTAACAATGTGAATTACTGAAATGTTTTCGGACTTGAAGGAGCCTAAGAAATCCTGTTTTATTCTTTGCTTTTTCAGGTGTTCTGCAGAAGCCGCAGGTAGCCACAGAAGCCCTTCAGGTTTGCTGCTTGCTTCTACCCCCAGAGAACAGGAGGAAGCTTCAGTTACTGATGAGACTCATGGCACGGATTTTGCAGAATACAAAGATTCCTCCACTCAATAATGCCATTGTGACAAGGACGCTGGTATTTAATTTGATAAATCTTTCTATCCATGTTTTTTTTAATATAAGCACCTGTGTTCAAAATCATAAAACATGTGAAGGCTTTTTGAATGTTGCTTGCAAACCCTAGTGTTTCTCTATAAGGTCTTGTGCTCTTTTGCCTTAAACAGATGGTTCAGACATTTTCACGGTGTATCCTCTGCTCAGCGGATGAGGTGGACTTGGATGAACTGCTTGCCACTAAGCTTGTCACCTTTATGATGGACCACTATGAGGACATACTAAAGGTCCCCAATCGCCTGCAAAAATCAGTGGAGGAGCATCTGTCTCAGTTGCAAAGAGTTCAGGTGAGGATCTTTTTATCAGTGGAAAATCATTTACCACAGCCAGCTGACAGCAGTGTGTATTAGGGAATCCCAAGTTACTGTCTGTGAAGATAGTGCTGTACATCAATACATCTCCTGCTTTGGGAAGCATTGCCTTTGATATTTTTTCATTTGTTTTCTCAGAATTTTGATTAAGTACAAACTTAATGAATCCTTATCCAAGATCTGTACACTAAATTCTTCTAAAAATATAAATGCAAATAGAACATTTTCTTTTTATTTATTGGTACAAAGTATATGCAACCTTGCTGTTTCTTTGGTAACCAGTTCTGTATATCATAAAACTTTAAAACATCTTTGAAACTCATGTGTTTGACAATAGACCTAAGTGATAATGTGATGCGTAACACCTCTAGTGCTAAAAACTATTTAACCTACCGTATATAACTGAATTAAGACTTGAATATAATTCATTAAACTTTGTGGAAAGAGATGTAAAATTTCTATTTTAAATATGAATTCCGCTCCTTATAGTGGGGCATGTGTAACAGTGCCGGTTCTTGGGAGGAGCCATAGCGAACACCAGTAAAAGTCAACACTGTGTTTGAGGAGGCAGAGGCATTGATGTGAGCAAAAAGAGGGAAAAACAAATAAAAGGAAAATGAAAAATGCACTAAATAGGGAAATAGGCTATTTCCCTAAATAGGGAAAAGAGTGAGGCCAAAAAAAAAAGTCAACCTGTTCTGGTGAGTCCCCACATATGGACAGGCGAAAATGAAAAGAAATAGAAACAAAAACGTGGCCTCAACGGTCTCCTCACAATCCCTCTGGGCTGTTGCTGGACTGTTCTCCCCTTGTGGGGGTCTGTAATATTCTCCCCTTGCGGGGGTCTCAGGACAGGAGTCCGGATTACTCGTCCCTCCGGGGCAGTGCTCAGTGTGTCTTAAAAGGCCTCCACAGCTGTGGCTTATCCTAAATTAGCCAGGTCAACTGTGGTTGCTAAGACAAGGCGTTGCCCTTAATCCAGGGCTCTGCCTCCAATGAACACACCCCATGTAATGCCACAGCTTCTTGTTGATCTTGGTCTTGAAGTAAGAGTAATCAGATATCTGGCATTGTACACAAACATTAAAATATGATAACATAGGAAAGTTTAAAGGAGAAGTTCATAAATTAACTTTGAGAGAATGTTTTTATAGGAAAAACGTGGAGCGCAGATCAATGCAACGCGAGACCTGCTACACTTCAGTAATTGATGTCAAAGCTCAAAAGTAAAGAGAAGAATAAAAAGTCCACATGGTTTTATTATCGATTGCATAAGCAGACATCTGGGAAACCTGTTATTTCTGTGCCAGGGGCTCAGTTTGGATTAGCTTTGTTTACAGTTATAATTTGTCATTCTTGTCAGTTCTTCAGACTTGTAAACTTTCTCTCTCCACAACTCTTTCACTATAGGAAGAGAACATGCACTTTAAATAGCAGTTTAAGAATTGTGGCTTCTCCGTTGGATCTGAACTTCTCAAATGTGAAATCCTTTACAATTCTGCAGTTTTCCTTCTTTACCACAATCATGCACCTGAAACATTATTGGTACTTTTGAAATGAATATTACCATTATATTAAAACAGTTATTGTTATAAATTGTACAATTAGTTCTATTTTTGCTTAGAAAATTGACGTCACTGTGAAAGTTATTAGTTGATCAGAGGGTATGCTGATCAGTACCTTCTCTCTAAAAAAGCTTATTCCGCTGCAGGTGTATTTTTGCCAGGATCAGGTTCTACTGACTTATGATGAAGCTCAAAAGTAGTAGTATGTGTGCTTGGCTCCAGAAGCAAAATGTTCCATGGAAGATGGCATGCAAGCCAATAAATAGGTTCTGAATCGGTAATGGAAGAGCCTGTACAGAACAGGTTGTATTCTTTTCACCTCTAGATAAAGTATGCTGGTGCAGATGCAGATGCCTCCTTTGTTTCTCACTCTTACTGCAAGCAAATCAGTAAGGAGGAGTTTGAAGAGCAGAGAGCAAACAGCACTCAGGCCCCAATGGCTGAGCTGCTGGAAGGGATCATCAAGGATACTGAACTCTCTGTAAAGGACAAAAAGAAGAAACTGAAACAGGTAAGGCAGAAAAATATCTTGGTGCTTGAGTGAGAAGAATCCCCATTTGTCATCCGCCAATCATCGGCAGGATCTTCAAAAGCCTCTTCACAACCCAAGGAAAACTACATATGCAAGAGCATGCTAGGCAGTGTTAAGTATAATAGATGGCAATCCATCGAAAAGGTGCTCTTGCCTTTAACAGCATTTGTTAGTCTTTCCATACCCATAAAAAAGGCTGTTGTGTAATACAAATTGATCTGTAATGGTTACCAGTGCAATTAAAACAGCATGGCTAAACGGTAAGTGAAAGATCACCATAGTTAAGTATTTTCTAGAAAGAAAGAAAGAAAGAAAGAAAGAAAATCATGAATGCATAACATTTAATTAATACTTAAATGTTTACAGGTCCTTTTTACTTCTCTCCAGTTTCAGAAATCTTATCCAGACATCTACAAGATGAGGTTTCCCACAGCAGAAAGTGAGGCAGCTTTGTTTCCGGAGAAACCCAAGCTAAAGCCACAGCTGATGTTCTTCAAACTGAAGAAACCGTTCCAGCCATTTCAGAGAACTAGGAGCTTTCGGGCCTGAACTGTTTCTGGTCGAAAATATCAGTGTCTACAGAGATTTCAGTGAAATCCCTTAATGTTTTGAGACTGAACTACTAGAAGACATGCGGTGCTTTCAAAGTCACTTCTTGTGTCATCCTGCTAAAAACTGTTACATGATCTCTGATGTGATTGCTTGATGCTCTTGTGATAACTGAAGTATTACTACTGTTTTTTAGGAATTATTTTCATTCTGGTCAAAAGTATCTTTCTTTTTAATAACAGCCATTGTAATGTTAAAGCATTGTAATGTGGTATGAAAAGTTTTAGTGATTACTTTTCATACCAAAAATGGCATATTAGAATTTACGGTGCTATACTAATGTAAGCATACATCTTATAAGTAATTCCTTTAGGTTTTTTATGTTTTTACAAATGGTATAACAAAGGGATGTTACTTGATGAGCTTTATCCATTTAACACTGGAATATAAGTGAGTTTTTGATTCCTTGAACTAGTATCCAAGCATAAGCTTAATAAAATACTGTATAATATTTTTATCCATTTTGTAAATGCATTATTCTGACATGGTAATTAGAATGAACATGCTAGTGGTTTGTTTACAATGTGGCATGTAGTGTTTCTCTTCTCATTTTTGCAAATGTCTCGGTTTTTTTATATTTTTGAAATGCTAAAAAACCCAGAACGGACACTTTCAAAAAGCTTAGTTCTTTCATTGTTCATCACTCCCCAAGGATATGTTAAAAGAAAATATTGTACTTGAACCACAGGAAAATATCAAAGTACACTGTTTTGAAAATCCTTTATTTTAACACTGGATTGTTACTTCAACTGATTGTTACTAACTTAAAATTCTGAATGGTTACTCCCCCCAATGTCATACTGCTAAAACAAGTTATGATCTCTGTTGCAGAACATCTTATTAAATCCTGTAAATACTTGATTGTATTTTTTCACACTGGATTGCTACTTAATGTTTATAAAGGTCCTATTTCAGCTTTTGTCTGTTACAATTTTGTTGTAGGTCATATACAAGCAACACTTCATGTGCGTATTAAAGTATTCAAGAGTAGGAATGTTTGATGCTGTACGTTTAAGCTTTTACAAATATGTGGGCACCTGTTTTTCAAAGTTTGTCCCTTGTATTCAGAAAGCTGACATGTGTATTAGCTGAGTAACATTTCCTTTGGGTTTTCACAGGTAGAGGTATATTGTTGCTTTCTAAGAAGTCATTTGTCTTATGCCTGCAAAACTGAGTTCTTAAACTGTTGTAAGTTTTACGTTGTGGTACAATTGTTTATTTTTGTATATTTGGAATATTTTTGCTTTTAGCTTGAGGCATGGTTTCTACTGTATGACTACTAAGCTGAGTAACTTACATTCCTGATCTTGGACACAAAGTTTAAAGACTCTATAAGCTGCAGTTTAAAATTTGGCTTCAGTCTGAGGATGTTACTGATTTTTTTTAATAAGAAAATGTCCTATTTAACAAACTGACTTAATTCATACTGTAAATGCCAAATGAGGTGAACACTGACTGTGCCTGGTTTCAAAACATTATTTGATTGTGACAATTTAGCAGATGCTATGGTAAGTGCCAGTCATTTTATATTAGAATATTCTTTGAGATATTTAAGGAAAGAACATTAATGTGTTTTTTTTACCAGGTTACCGTCTCAATTGTAGTGTCATTAAATAGTTTAACTATACTTTGTTGTCAGATCTGTCAGTTTAATTAGTGTGGAGTTCCTGTTATACAGTATTAAATTGTTTATCAAAAAGTCTTTATGCGTGTGTAATGGGTTATTTCAAAAACAGGGAAGTGTACCCTTCATGTTGATATAATTTTTTTTAAATGGTCAAAACCATTTTTTAGTTTGTTACCATTTGTTAGCTTTTCAAGGGTTTATATGAGAGTGACATCCTATATATAGGCATTTCAATTTCATAAAACACGGTGGATGTAATCAAGATTTAGTTATGCATAAGAACACCTTAAATACTTGTTGATGTACAGTAGTTATATTTTGTAATGAAAAGTTGTGAGGCCAAGTTATAACTCACATCTTGTAAGAAGAACTCTTAAGATCTTACTTTACTGTCATCTTCAGCACAACTATAAAAGGACAAATATATAATCACAATTGTGGTGCAAGTGTGCAATTCAAAGACTTATCAACAGCTTCACCGGTGCAAACAGTCATCAGTGTAGTATAAAAAAAAATACTACTAAATCTGTCCAGAGTAGCATATGCTCTTTACACATCTTTCTTAGCTGATTTCTTTACTGTTTTGCAGGCGAAAGGTGAGACAAGTGATAGGTTCATGTACCTTTCCTCCTGGATCTGAAGCTTTTTGTTTTGTCTCCAGCTTTTTGTTTAATTTTTTTTAAAAATGAAAATTTAATTAAACTGGAGCCCCCCTGCTTCACTGCTACGTACTGAATGGTTTTACAGAAATGACCCAACAAGGGTATTTGTTGTCTAGTTAGTGATGGAAAAAATCTTAATGTGCAACATGAAAGAAATTGCACACATTGTGTTCATTGTTGTAAATTATAATTTTAAAAGGATTATTTTATTTATACCCTAAGCTTTTAATTATTAATTGGCTCATTACTCTGCTCTCCTCCCCACTGATAGCTGATGGTGAGCGTTCTGGTGCACTATCATCCAGGTGGGGCTGCACTGTTGGTAGAGGAGGGGAGTCCCCATTACCTGTAAAGCGCTTTGAGTGGAGTGTCCAGAAAAGTGCTATATAAGTGTAAGCAATTATTATTAAAGGTTAGTTTGCTGGGGCTAGAATTAATTTCAGATTAATCCACAAGAGGTCACTGTTGGCATGTTTAATTATGCTTTCAAAGAGTTAGTATTTGGTATTGCAAAACTATTGATAAAATTTGTGCTTGATTAATTTAAAATATTTATTCAAATGTTCAGCCTATAAGGAATATGTTGTTAAGACGTTGGAAATAGTATGAAATCTTTAAGGATAAATATTTTTATATTTAGATGATAATGTTCCAGCATGAGGCGTAAGAAATTCTTTCATTATTAACCTAATACAAAGATAATAGCTAATCTAAAAGTATTACATACTTTTTGTTGAGAAAATCTGTTCATAACCATTATGAATTTTTCTTTAGTAACTTATTTCCCTCATTTTTCATCTGGTCTCAAGTAAAAATAAAAATAAACTCAAAAGTAAATTCAAAATGTCACCTTAACATGAAGTTATTTTTAGTTTCTTTACCATTATACAGAACATCCCTAGCTGTTTGTCAAAGCTGCATTTGTAAGTGTAAAGTGTGTGAAAATCCTTGTCTTGGAAAGATTATCAATGAGTTACAGTATGTACAGAAACTGGACCGTTTGTTGCACAAGGGTCAAAACACTTTGACAGCTAATCTTGGTCATGAAACTGGAATGATATTGTAATAAATGCGGGTTTCGGTACGAAATAGAGCTGGCATGGGAATGGGGTTGAACAACACATTTATTAACTCGAACCAGGGAAAGGTACACACACAGGAACAGGAGTTACAGTGCTGCACCTTCACTAACACACAGACATGAAGGGAAGAGGCTGTCTCCCAGCCTCCGCCCCACCATATACAGTCCTGTAGTCCCGCCCCCAGGCCCTGTTCTCAGCCTGCCTTGCCTGTGCATGGCTAAAGTGCCCTGTGTGGTGCTAGATTGCCCCCGCCTGAAGAGTCGAGCATCCTGCCAACACCAAACCATCCCTCCAGGCTGCACACGCAAGGCAGGCTGCTCCGCAGGCTCCTCCTGGTAGTCTCTCCGTCTGGGCCAGGGACCTCCATTTGGGCAGGCTCTGCGGCCAGGCCAGGACCCTCCGTCTGGGCAGGCTCTCCGTCCATGCCAGGACCCTCCGTCTAGTCTCTCTCCCTGTGCGTTAGGCCTCTCACTGCCCCGCTCCGGGCCTCTGACTGCTCCACTCCAAATCAAATCAAAGTTTATTTATCAAATGCACAACAATACAGCGTGCAGCAGTAGTTGCTGGCAATTAAATGTCTTTTCTGCGAGCTCACAAAAATCACAAAATTGAGGTTATGAAAATAAGGTTACATAATAATAGATGTAATAGAAATTGAATAAAACTCAATATGAGTAGAGCTGCTATGTGTCCATGGTGTATTCAATATATACAAGTTATGTGGTTATGCTGAATACAGTGAAAAAAGTGTGTGCACGTAGCCATTACAGGTGATTTGCTAAAGGAGCTGCAGGTTGGCTATTTAGCAGTCTTATTGCCTGAAGGTAGAAGCTGTTCTGTACTCTGTTGGACTTGGACCGAATGCTTTGGATGTTTGGTAGCTCACAGCCGGTAATGAGCTGCGCTGACTTCACCACCCTCTGCAGTACTTTGCGATCCCGGACGGAGCAGCTCCCATACCAGGCAGTGATGCAACCAGTCAGGATGCTCTCAATAGTGCACCTGTAGAAGTTGGCCTGGATATGTGACGGCATGCCAAACGTCTTTAGCCTACGGAGAAAGAATAGGCGCTTCAGTGCTGTTTTGACCACGGTGTTGTTGTGGTGGGTCCAGGTTAAGTCCTCTGAGACGTTAACTCCCAGGAACTTAAAACTGCTGACCCTCTCCACTGTAGTCCCATTGATTTAGATAGGTGTGTGACCTCCTCCCTGGTATTTCCTATAGTCCACAATCATCTCCTTAGTCTTACTGATGTTCAGAGAGAGGTTGTTCTGCTGGCACCATGCTGCCAGGGTTTTAACCTCCTCCCTGTTTGCAGACTCTTCACCATCTGAGATCAGGCCAATGACTTTTGTATCGTCCGCACCCTTAATGATGGAGTTTGAGTTATGCCTGGTGACACAATCATGGGTAAATGAGGAGTAGAGGACAGGGCTAAGCACACAGTCTTGGGGGGCTCCAGTGTTTAGAGTCAGGGTAAAGGATATGTTGGTGCCCACCCTCACCACCTGCGGACGTTCTGTCAAGAAGTCCAGGATCCAGTTACAGAGGGAGTTGTTCAGTCCCAGGTCATGGAGCTTGATGACAAGCTTTGAGGGCACTATGGTATTGAATGCTGAGCTGTAATCAATAAACAGCATTCTCACATATGTTCCTTTCTTATCCAGGTGTGAGAGGGCAGTATGGAGGGCAGTGGCAATAGCATCTTCTGTTGACCTGTTCTGGTGGTATGCAAATTGCAGTGGGTCTAGGGTGTCAGGCAGTGAGGAGATAACACTTCATGATAACTGATGTGAGTGCAACAGGGCAGTAGTCATTTAGGCAGCTGACTCTGGGTTTCTTAGGAACAGGGACAATGGTGGTTTTCTTAAAGCAGGAAGGAACTATAGACTGAGCTATAAAGAGATTAAATATGCCCGAGAAGACATCTGCCAGCTGGTCTGCACATGCCTTCAGAACGTGGTCAGGGTTGGCATCAGGGCCAGGAGCCTTGCGTGGATTGGTCTTTTTAAAAACTTTATACACATCCGCTCTGGATATGATCAGTGGGTTCCAATCTTGGATTTCTGGAATCTTCCTTACTGGATCTGTGCTGCTGACCTCAAACCGAGCATGGAATGAATTTAGCTCATCAGGAAGAGAGGCAGACTGTTGTGCGACATAGCTGGGTTGCGTTTTGTAGTCTGTAATGGTGCGTATACCACTCCACGTGGTCCGTGTGTTGGAGCCGTGATAATATGACTCTAATTTTACTCTGTAGTTGTATTTAGCTATTTTGATAGCTTTCCTGAGGTGGTATCTTGATTTTTTGTATTTATCCATATCGCCAGAATTGAAAGCAGCTATCCTAGCTTTCAGTTTGGCGCGTATCTCGCCATTTACCTATACTTTCTGATTTGGGTATGTGCAAACAGTAATCCTGGGAACCACGTCATCAATGCATTTACTGATGTAGCCCGTAACATAGTTCATCCCACTCCTAATACCAATGCAACGACCGCGGGTTTTGGTACAGAATGGAGCAGGCATGGGACTCAGGGAAT